AAAAAAAAAAAAAAAAAAAAAAAAAAAAAAAAAAAAAAAAAAAAAAAAAACTTTTTAGAAAAAAAAAGGGACTAACTTTGAATGTAAAAATGGATTCATTAACCATTGGTAAGTATGGGAAAATTGTTGTTTACTCCAGGAAAATTCTTTTTTTTTTTTGGCCAAAACAAAGAGTTATTATCCCTTTAACACAATCTAATAAGATGCGCATGCACACTGAACTGACACTGATTGATAGCATGTTATTAAATGGCAAAAAAAGCGTTAAGCATTATATATAACATACATTGAATTTGTTTAAGAATTTGAACAATTAATTTCTCTTTTATTGCCCATATAAATGTTTTTAAAATCTGTTCACAAGTGCTGATTTTTAAATTTTATTCATAAGGAGATAAAGACTTCGGAATTATTTGCGTGGCGCTAAATTGAGAAATATAAGGAAAATATATTTTTTACGTTCTTCTATGTCCATTTAGGTCAAGTAAACGCGGGTTATGGACCTCCACCGTCATATGGCGAGTTGACAGGCCAAGAACAAGAAAATCAAGGAGCAAAACCGTTGTATGCGAACCCGAAGTTCCAGAACGTGTCGTATCCCCGTCAACAGTGTGTGCCTTACGTGTACTCCCAGCCGCCACAAGCTCAGCCGAACCCTCCTTCCTAGTCTCCCCTCCCTCTCTCTCTCCCTCCCTCCATCATTATCTGCCCTCCTAATATTCAAGATGAGTATTATGAAGAGACACACTATTTTCAAGACCGGAAGAGGTTAAAATTCATGGGTCAAATCAAAGAAAGTTTTGTGACTTGACGCTAAAACGAAAACGCGTTGGCACCATGAGTTTGAAGCAAAATGGCAACTTTGCTTTGCAGTAACTGCGATTACAAGAAAGGCTAACGGCACTACTGTTTCTGTACATAAAAAACAATATCGGAATTATAGAAAAGGAACCAGCATTATGTTACTTGATTATACAGTGTTAAATGCTGAGTTAAAGACTCACTCATATTTTAACTTCAGTTTTATAAAGGAAATAGATATTCGATAATCACATACATTAGCTCCAAATGACAGAGAAGTTTGTTCTGGCACTGAAAATGTGAAAATCGGTAAGTGGTTTGGGATGCACTGAATAGAATGAAGAGGATAGGCAAATGTTTCAAAATCTGTTTTTCTATACAATTTATATTGAATCATTTTTGGTCGAATTTAACAATTGTCCCAACGGCAATTGCAATAAGACTTTATTTGAAACTTTTTAAAACGACAGTGACTGTGCTGAATTACGTATCACACAGAACTCTTTTACTGAGACCATCTCCACACTTTCTGAGCGCAACTGATATCATTTTATTTTGAGCCAGGTTATTAAAGGGATAACAACTGTTCGTTTTGACCAAAAATGGATTTTCCTGGGTAAACGATGATTTTTCCATACTTACCAATGGTTAATAAATCCACTCCGACATTCAAATGAAGTCCAGTTTACAATGTAGGCCTATTTATTGCGAAATAAGAATCTCATACGAACAGTTGCTATCTCTTTTAGTAGAAAAAGAAACTTTTTTGCGTCTAAATGCTTCAGGTAAATCACAAAAACAAAAATGTTAAAAATTATTTTGTTTTTTTTTTTTAAATCTCAAAGCAGTATTTTTGTACATAAATAAATATAATACTTTAGATGAGCTCGATATCCAAGTGGTATGAAATGGACAAAATCTGTCACGCCACATCGAGCGTTGCACAAATTGACTACCTCAGCAAAGTTTGTCTATTTACATATGTGTTGCCGTAATTACCAGAGTTGTCCTAGTTAAGGATATGGTATCAGTGCGAGTCTAATAATGAGCACCTATAGACAAAACTTGCTTTGGACAAGTTGTTTACCAACGTGGCCTGTGATAATATTTTCTTAATATTATGACCACTTCTGTGGAACCATATTTGTTACGTAAGAACTGTTCAATTATTCGGGCATGTGTTGTTATCATCATCATCATTATTATTATTATTATTATTATTATTATTATTATTATTATTTGTCATTCTATAAATCACCAGTGCATTTTTAGACATGTATCTTTTTATATAGATATTTGGATCATGCACCTAATCTTTCATTTATCACATATTTAAATGGAAACAACCAGAACTTATATATTTACAGAGGATGAAGTATTCTTTATAATACGCGGAATTAATAAAACGTATTTTTACGTAGACTATTCGTTATTATTTGTATAGAGGGATTTACTGTATGATTGGACTATGAGGAATGGAAGTCAGGGGAGGACCCCACCACCAAAATAAAGAAAGCTAAAGGGGGGTTTGGTTTGTCAGCCAACAATATCAAAAGTGGTAAATTTAAGCATATTTGAAATGATTTCTATATTTCTAAAAGTTACTCGGGGGGCTGAACTGTTCCTTCGGTCTTCTTTCTGGCTAGCAAGATAGTTGTTTGATAAATAGATATAAAAGAAAAAATTAATGAAGTTTCTTGGCGTCTTCCTGTGCCATTCACAGTCTATCGATATCGCAAAATGCCCGGCAAAATATAAATTCGGTCAAGTAGGATTAATGTTATGACCTAAATCGACTTGGGTCAATTATGTAAACATAACTCCTCCAAAGGTAGACATGGGACAATCAAGTGGTATAATAATTAACGTCATCTAATTAAAACACCGCAAAATAAAATCTTTCTGTGGGTAAATAAATCTACAAATTTTTATATCTATAAATTGACTTTACTTAATATCCAATACTATTGTGCTAATGATATCAAGCGGTGAAGGGCAGCAGAAACAAACTTTAAACTGCGCACTGATCATTACACCGTTTTAACCCACAGGTGCCATACGTTGCCAAGCGTTATAGATAAGCGACATAATTTAAGGTCATGAGCCTTTTATAATATCGGTCCGCTCAAAGTCCGCCATTTTAACTAAGTCGATCAACATTGTAATCAGATACGAACCAGTAGTCATATTGTCAGGTAATATTCATCGCCACCTTAGCATTTTTTCCTCTTGAAAGGAAGGATTAGGGAAATAGGTCCGATTACTGAAACCAGGTAAGTGGCACCTAGTAGTAGTGTTTCATAATATTATATCACAGTGTAGATGTATATTTTGTTTTTGAGGGAAGGGGGAGGTGTGTGGGGCATACATTTTAGCTTGTGTTCGTCATCTGTAAGTAACTTTTCTGTTAGCCTCTCTCCCTCCCTCCCCCCCCCTCTCTCTCTCTTTCTCTCTCTCTCTCTCTCTCTCGTGTGTAGTGTGTGTATTCGGGGGGGGGGGGGGGGGTTAGGGGGTAGTGGTAGGGGAGATACCGTCCAAAAGATGCATGTGAATCATTATATATTTCTTAATATAATGCTAGATATAACATTTATCTAAGCGATAACGAGTTGGAAATTTATTTCTGTTTAATCTGGGCCACTCACGTGTGACCTAGGACACAGTCATCTTCACTGCACACCCTTAATACAACATGGTGACACAGGCATGGGTATGGAAAGGAAAGAAAGGAATGTTCTGCGCCTTTTTCTATTAGTAAAAAACAATGTTATCATAATGTTATCAGCGTTTGGCCGCCATCATCTGTGTTTGTACTGCAAACCCTTTTAAAATCCAATGTACATTTAGTACGTTTAATAATTGAAAAAGTATAGCTGTGTGTGCTTTCACGATCTAACTTTTTCACACTGTACTATGTAGGACAGAATTTTGTTAAAACCAGCATATGCTTGCCTGGATTTCTTTAGATTGAAGCTATTGAATTTTTTTATAGGTCGAAAAGAAGTGCCCTTTTTGAGGACACAAAATGACGGGTATCAATGTTTCCCTGTGCCTGATAGCATGCCTGTTTGGAGTGCTGATGCTTGAAATTGAAGGCAGTACTTGTAAGTATATATAATATTAACTACGATACAGCCTTACATGCTAGAACTCTAACTTCATTAATATTGTAAATGCAACATTGCATTTATTGACAAATTTTGATCATTTTAGAAGCACGAAAAGACTTAAGACCGCATTCACAACGATTTGAGCCAGGCTTTACAAATCCTGAGACTAAATATGGCGGACGTACATGAAAGGAAAACCGCCTAATCTTTTAATAGTCTCTCCGCCTCTCACACGCCTCCCCACACGTCGTCCCTGCGGGGTACAGTCATTAAATCTCGGCTCCGTTCGCCATGTGGAAGCTCCTCTGAGCGTCCGACGGCGTCCTGGCCAGTGTCATGGTCGCACAAAGGACGCAGAAAGGACGCCTTCCAGTGTAAAGGCGGTTTTAGATAACAGTGTTAAAAAGAGTTGAAAAAGCTTTCTGTTGCACTAAATGGGAATGTTTCATTTTCAACGCGGGGGTGAGGGTGGGGGTCGTATTTGCTTCTAAAAGACAAACATTTATCAAAAAGTGATGCATTCATTATATAGTAAAAATGTTGCTTTTTTTCTACATGTTCCCTGTGTGTCCACATAATTGGATTTTGAAAATCTGTATTGTTCGAAAATAAGCTGTTGATGTTATCTTTTTTATATTTTTTTTCCAGATTACACAGCCGACTCCTACGACTGCGGGGAATCCCATTACGTTTACACATACTCCTCAACCACGTTGAAAGCTTGGCAGCTGCTGTCAGACAGGTGAATATATTGGAGGTGTTTCTAAAGCCCCCTTTACATTGGACGGCGTCCATTCTGCGTCCCGTAGTACAGCTCCGTTTGAGAGTCAAAAATTTTTAAAAAATCTTTAAGTGCCGACAACTTGTCTTTCTACGACCACAGCTATGCCGGTTTCATGGTTGCACAAAGGACGGAGAAAGGACGCCGTCCGGTGTAAATGGGTTTTACTCGCTTGAAAGACGAATAAGACACGCTCAAAATCGTCATGGTTTAAACCGTTCATCGTCGTATGACAACGTGTTTACCCAAATAAATTAAAAAAAAATGCTTGTAGGTGATTCTTCATATACATATATGAGATTAATTTATATGGATACTTTTGCGTCATTTTTATTTATTTATTTATTTATTTATTTATTTATTTTTTATGATTTAGGAATTACCCACCGTCTTCCTGCACCATGTACTTTGATACTGGGATAGAAGGAGATGTGGTTCGCGTGTCATTCATCAATGTCCGTTTGCCGTGTTTCTCTTCCGCCAAGTTACATTTCTACGATGGCTATGGGACCTATGTTAACAAGGTAAAACCATATCGTTTTTAACATATGAAGCAGTATCCGTCTTTCACACTGTCAATTTTATCCCTGGCCGAAAGGAGTTTTTGAGTTTGTCAATGTGCCAATAACCGCGAGCCCAGTGAGTGAAAAAAGAAAAGTCTTGCTTGTTGGACTTTCATCTTTTCGAACACAGTCATTGTCAACGTTAAATTAAAAAAAAAAACTCTCAATATTACCATGTACTATATTTTTATAGATATGTTAGAGAAGATAAAGGCATATTCAAGCCCTCTTTTGTTAATCAATAGCAAAGCTTCCCCCGTGTATCACATTACTTATTCGTCTGTATGTACATGTACTTCAACATCAGTACATACCTTCTCCTGTTCCTGGTCACTGTTAATGCATAAGCAAAGGTGATTTTCTTTTCACGTGCGATTTTATGATTTTCTTTTCACAGTTGAAAACATTATCTTGCACCAGTGTAACACCGCAAGACTTCCGCAGCTCTGGACGCTATCTCACAGTTAAACTCGAATCAAGTTCTTCCGAAAGCAACTACGACTTTGAGATCGATTTATGGGAGGAGGATGGTGGTAAGCCTGGCCAGACAAATGGTGGTAATTTCTGTGACATCTAAAGATATTCTTCAATGCTTAAGCTGGTTTAGAGATTTAGAGCGATAATTGGTAGTATATACTTACATGGACTAATGCAGATTCATCTTGGATTTAATAACGCCATTATTTTCGTCGCAAAGTTAAGAACACATTTTACAAGATTTTGTGGACTTTTGCCTCCAACACTCTTGTAATTTCGCCAAGCGACCTCTAGGACAAGGAGGCTAAAAAGGGAAACGGTTCTAGTCATGCTTAATCTGATACTGAGATGAAAAAGTGCGATTTATACTATATGGTACTTTCTTTTTGGAAGGAGGGGGAGGTGGGAAGCTCTCGTCTTCATTATAAGAATTAACGCAACTGTTGACAAAGTCTGGAACAGGAGTGAATACGTCCGATTTTATGATTTTTTTTCTAGCCAACCCTAAGTAGACGTGAAGGGTGACGGTCGGATGGTGGGTGAGCGGGGGGTTGCCTGAATCTGAAGTTTTTTTTAGTGTAGTAGGCCTAATTTACTCATGATGATGAACTTTATTATATTTCCAGGATCAGCCCTATCTATCGGAATCATACTTGGCATCGTTGGCGGTGTATTTTTCATCTTTGCTCTTCTGTTTACGGCGATGGGGCTGCTTTGTCGACGCTACGCCACGAACCGATCTGGAAGGGGTATCACAGTCATGAGGCCAGTGGTGGCAAACGTGCCACAATATCCACCCTCTGGTAGGTCACCTTGCATTCGTGACTCTTCGGCCATTTATGATTTCAATTTCAGGTCATCGTTTGGAGAATTGTTGGGGGATGGCAGAGTGTTTTCCTTTCTACCAAAAAACGGCTTATATAAAATTGTGTTGCCTTCTACCACTTAAAAAACTTCTTTTCAAGTTTATCTCTTCATGTTTTGTTTGAATCGTATTTTTTATTGGAATTGGTTTATCATGTGGTATTTGTAAAAAGGTCTACGAGTGTAACAGTGAAAACTAGAATATCACCTAAAAGCAATTGGAACCATCTGATAGTTACGATTCACGATGTGAGCAATAACGAGTATGTTTTCATTTTATCAAAACTTTTTTATAATTAGGTCAAATAAATCCGGGATTCGGACCTCCACCCGCGTACAGTGAAGTGACTAGTCCAGCGCCATCTGGAGGCCAGGCTAATCCTGGATTACAACCTCCGCCAGGGGGTTCTCAAGTACAACAAGGAGACACGACGAGACCTTATCCTCAGCAGCAGTTTTACGCTCCTTACCCTCAGCAACAGAGCGTGCCCTATCCCCAGCAGCCTAACGATCCGCCGAACCTCGAGCAGCCGAAAAATCCGCTTTTGCCCCAGCAGTAGACCGCCCCATTACGGACAGACCTTCGACATTCACACTCCTCATTCCAAAGAATCAAATAATTACAACATTACTGATTTCATTGATACGTTATTTTGATCTGCTAAGCATTTTTTTTTTGCATTCTGAGGAGAAATATCATCGTTTTTTGTTTAACTGATTCTTACAGACTAGATTGTCGAAGGCAGAATGTCGTTAATTGCTGCAAACCTGATAGCATTATTTAGCCCAAAACTTTCAATTTCTTTGCTTAAAACAATAATTATTATATCTGATATACCACATCTTACTAGCAAATAATATTTGTTTGCGCAAGTTCATGACAAAAGTTACAAACATAAAAAGTAGTGAAATCAGTAACGAACTGTGATTTTTAATGTATGGTTATTCTAGAATTACTATTACACGAGTTCCGGGCCTGCAAGTTCAACCCGGTGGTCCACACATGTATAGCATTCTATAGAACTCTTCCATGTGTTTTTATAATTCTATAATAGACTTTATTTTAATATTACAATATTTGGTGAACTTACTGATGTCCATTAATTAACTTTACCTCAATAACGGACTTTATTTAAATATTGCAATATTTGGTAAATTAAGCTATATCTATTAACTTATAATTCTATAATGGAGTTTATTTTAATATTAAAATATCTGGTAAACTCACCGATGTCCATTCACTGTACTTCTATAAAGGGCTTTATCTTAAAATTACAATATTTGGTGTCCATTAACTGTAATTCTATAATGGAGTTTATTTTAATATTAAAATACCTGGTAATCTCACCGATATTCATTAACTGTACTTCTATAAAGGACTTTTATCTTAAAATTACAATATTTGTCATATTTACCAAGATCCATTGACCTGGGGTCTTCAGTTTCGTTTGCAGTCCAGAAAATAATTGTATTGATTCTCAGTCAGCATGACAACTCTGGGCCGACAGCGAGCGAAAACGAGGTTTAAAGATGCAATTGAAGCCAATTTTTTTTTTGCCACAAAAACCGATCAAAAGCCAAGCCAACATATAATTTCAGTAGTATAATTTTGGAAATACCAAAGGAAATCTTTTCATATTATCTGGAAAAAATTAAATTTGAACGGATGTTTTCTACCCACTTTCAAAGCAGAATATAACAGGGAGCAGAAGGGTTTCCTTATATACATAACCTATAATTAACTTTCCTACGATTTCAAATGCATTTGTCGTATCATCTTTACTGTGCCACATGGAGTATTTCCTGCATCAAGGGCTGCTAGGGGTCCCTAGGAGCGACATATAACATTAAAAATAAACATAGAATGCCCTTATAATATACCCAGTAGCTAGACAAAATAAACGTCGTTTTTTTAGCAAAATCTGATGGTTTTAGCTTTTAATTATATAATACATATTTTCAACCAAATAATTTCACGGGCCATATAACAGAAAAGGCCAACTCAAAAACCTCAGCCTGGCCTGTAAGTTTCCTAGGAAGAAAGCAGGGAAAGAATGGAATGCTGAAAATGACATCATAAGTCGTCGGGGTTCGTATCGACCATGGCACCATATAGAAGAGAGAGAGAGAGAGAGAGAGAGAGAGAGAGAGAGAGAGAGAGAGAGAGAGAAATAAAAAAAAATATATATACAGGTATATACTCCAATTGAAGTAAATTCTGCAACATATTTACCTGTCTTGTGACTCATAGCTTCAATTTTCCTGTTTGTATAAAGAAATGGACGGTGAGCTGAATGTAATAAATTGTATTTCCGACTTTATATTCGATTTTATATTTTGCCTTTACAACCGTAAATACTTGAACCGAAAATAGCCCCACTAACGCCACCGTACAACAACAACATAACAAAGGGACCCAGTGCTTGCACTTGTTACAAACTATGTCTGTCTGTCTGTCTGCCTGGTGACGTCAGATAGGCTGCTTCCGGTTTATATTAGTCCAGTTGTGAACATGTCTCAGGGCAGCGTTATGGGCTGCATATCTTAGATATATGACGTTCAAGTTTACAATATGAACGTGTTTGTTTGAACTTCAAGATAACAGCGGTCTGTGTGCCCTTCTCGTTTCTGTAATGCAATCTATTGCAAACAAGAATCAGAGAGGGTAAGATCATTTCTGTTGTCATCATTTCATATGACGGGGTGTAATTGTGTCCTGGTTTGATAGTAATTCCTTGGAATTGAGGTACACCAATTGAGGGATGCCGGTCTGTTTATCAGACCTGTAGCCAACAGTTTTAAAGATGATAAATCATAGTGTTGGATCTTCCTTTGAAAAGTCATTCTCCTTGTTCCCGTACCGGTAGTTGGCCCAACTTTTGAAATGTCATACACTCTACTTAGTTCAGTTTTGATTTAGAGCTCGAGCGTACTTTCCCCGTCCAAAAGGGAATTTCTTTAATGTACATAGACTAAGGCATGGGTATTCTTCCGTTTCATTATTATACACTGAAATGATATATATGTGAGTTTTATTAGTTTAAACCGGTACCATAGACTGGACATTAAAGCGTAAAACTAGATTATACTACCTGTAGTATTTGGTTGTTAACCAAGAGGCACACAATTACATTTGGTTGCATTTCCCCAATGAGAGAGAGAGAGGCCAAACTTTGTAGAAATAAGCTGTTCATGTAAATACACATGCGGTAGATGTCCCACTTCTTTTAGATTCTGTGATTGCATTTCATTTTGTAGAAAGGCACAAGTTCATAGCAAACGAGAAGAATGTCATATTACGTGCTGGTAATAACGATAGCGCTGGTGTGCCTTTCTTCTCAGACACAAGGCGAAATATGTAAGTATACTTTCAGGTCTATACGTCCAGTATCATAGATGTCCTCAGAGAAGCATTTCATCAGCTGTGTTATGTTATAAGAATAAAGTAATATTTCTCCAATCAACAGCTTAATATTGAAATAAATTACCTCCAACATATCGATGTCTAACAGAGCATCTTCATCAAGGAAGGAGGCTATCTATGTGAAGTCATCCATATCACGAGGACTGCAGCCAATCTCAGCTGAAATGAGGGTGCCATCCTCCCTGACCTATACTTGCCTTTCCTAATTCAATAGGTTTGTGGGGGGGGGGGGGGGTGCAAGTATATCTCTTGAAAAGAGGTTATTCACAAAACATAGTGTATACGCAATGTCGTATAAAACTGGAACTCTACAGAACTCAATAAGCAGAAAACAAGCAACAAAATATTCCAGCACAAATGATGTCAATCTGTCTTCGTCTTCCATTATTTCTGACCCTGCTCTCCTGCAAATCTCTCAAAGTCGCGCTTGATTTTACGCTTTATTGCAAGACTCTGGTCCATTGTTTTAGATTAAAATAGAAACCATCCCATCCGAAAATTGGTTTGAGTTTAAACGTTGCGACCTTGATTAGACGCACCGAAACCTAAGGATAAGGATGATACAAATTTAAAAAAAATTAACAATGATAAAGAAAATGGAGCATATTGTTTAACATCAAGGAATTAATAGTCTGTTTCCTAAACTTGAGAGTGTCAAAGAATTGCGCAATAAAATTGTCTCAGATGTCGAACCTTTTATCATGTATGTCAAATAAGTCATTCTTAAATCAAAAAGTTTAATCTTTAACACAGAGTCAATACCCTCTGGGATGGTTGAACAGCGATATGGTCCATCGGAACATATCATTAACTTATTACAGATAACGCGACAGGGTTGACACCTTTAAAAGAATTAGGAAGGGAACCGTTCATTACAATGAATTTTATGACTGATAACTATTATATGACTGAAAGGGATAACAACTCTTCATTTTGGCGGGTAAAGTGCCATGAAATGGATTTCCTGGAGTAAACGACAATTTTCCCATATCTTTCAATGGTTCAAAAATCTGTTTCGAAATTCAAAAATAGTTGATTGTTTTTTTAAGTGTGGTTTTTTTGTAATAATCTCTTAAAATAGATTATTGCGGAGGGTAGCCATTTACATACGCTACACGTGGTCTGATGGCATGCGTTGAGCACAGCTTCCAAAATAATTATGATAACCGCCGTTTTTGGTGGCAAAGTGGAATTTATTATATTTACGTGTAGCTTGTAATATATTTACTGTGGAATTTTTAAAAACTCATGTGAAAGTTGTTGTCCTTTTCATATAAAATGGCTGAGATATATTGGCTGACGTAGTTGCTGTCTTTTAATGGCTTTTGAGAACAATACTGAAATTGAAAACACAAATAACATGTAATCTGGAGATTGGATACAGGGTTGTTAAAGTACAAGAAGTATAAATAAATCATCGGTCTCTTTGAACAAGCAAGCAAAACAAATATACAAATTTCATAAATCAATAAACGGATTGTGTAAAGAATAATAGTAAAATATTTGTTTGATAACGAAGAGGGTTGAAACTTTTTTTTTGGAATCCTGGACATCACGAAAAATTAAGTTTTTGATAAAACACATGATTCATCATGATGCGATTAATTCAGTGACGGTTTAAGGGGAGAGGGGGGTCAGGGGGGGTCATGATCCCCACTTTAGTTCCTGAAAAAAAATTACATTAATATTCCCCTCTTGAAGTTAGAATTTTGACTAGCTAAAGTACAGTACCAAACCGTACCAAATTGCACCGTTTGTCCACAAAAACACCCGTGACAAGGGACCGAGAATCGGCTTTGCATCCGAGGCCTGCCATTCCTAAAAAGAAAAAAAAAACGGACTCACTTCAAATATTCCTGGGTCCGCCCCTGGAATTGTATGCATAGACATACAGTATATGTAATATTTCACTATTTATCAGTCACTTATTGAGCACATTTTGCTTCGAAATGATTTTGTTTAAAATCTTCTTACCTTGATGAGAAACAAAATGAAACATTACATAACACAACTCCCAGATAACAAATCGATGTTTTTCATTATCTGATGAAAACAGATATACAACGAGAAATAAACGATTTCCGTCTACTTCCAGACTACGCCGATAGTGCATATGACTGTTCCTCCGACCAAAAGTACGTGTTTACCTACTCATCAACAACATTAGAAGCTTGGTCCAGTGGCATACGATCAAAAACCAACTCCTCTTGTGTCATCCATTTCTACACAGGGGTTTCCAGTGACGTCGTCAAAGTCATAAGTAACTTTATGGACATACCATGTTCGTCGGAAGCGTACTTGACTTTCTACGATGGTCCATCAACAAATTCGAGGCTGGTGCGTTCTTCTTTTTTTTGCTAAATGCTTTATAAGGACTTACGAACATTTTTCTAGCTGTTTCTGTTGTGGGTCTTGTACGAAAGATCGTTCAACAAAGCCGCTCTTTTTTTTTCATATTAAGATGGAATATTTGGTGAAAGATATCTGTTGAACATGTAAGATATACAAATTCAGTCTCCAGCATTTTAATAACTATTTAACTTTCTTTACATGTATTTTTGAATGTCAGTTTATATTTGAAGCGTGTTGTGATGGTGCCGGAATAGAATCATTAAAGAGACATTACATGTTTTAATGCAAAATACCAGAGAGAGAGAGAGAGAGAGAGAGAGAGAGAGAGAGAGAGAGTTCAGCGAGTGTCATGTATTAATCAAGTCTTTATGTTTCTTTGCTTTGAAAGAGGGCATGATTATCAGAATTGGTTGTGATTTGCCAATTGTTTCATCATATTTTAGCTAAAGCACTACTCCTGTTCAGTGTCCCCAAGCAAACCCTTCCAAACAACCTCTGAATATTTAACAATCAGACTTGGCCGCGCCGGAAAAACCAATTTTGACTTTAGTTTGGATCTTTATGAAGTTTATGGTGGCGTGAGTAAGTACAAATTATTTCTGATATACAAGTAGTACTAGAAATCAAGAAATGGTAAGGGGATTAAGGGTAAAAATAGATATATTAAGGCCTATATTTATCGTGTGGAATTAGCATATTATGACAGGCAAAATCGAAGTTTTTTGTTTTTTTTTTTATTTCTCTTCAATATATTTGTAGAAAATTCTGTTTTATTTCGTTCGTAACGGGCCCACAGTTCATGTTATGTTTTCTAAAAGAAATGTTAACATTTGGAATCTGAATGGTCAAAGATCTCAACATAGATCTACGTTTTGGAATTCATTTTGAATTAAATCTGAAAAGACCTTTTGTGCAACGTTAAAGCTGTCAAGGCGTATTAGATTTGTTCTCATAATCATTTGTTACATTTCAGAATATGTGGATGAAACTGTATATATTGCAGTTGGTGTCGGTTGTGGATTTTTCTTTTTGGTGATGTTGGTGAGTCTGAGAGTGTTCTTGATCTATAGACGTCGCTCCGCAGCAAGACGAGGCCAGCTGGTAGTCACCGGGGTTCCAGTGAATTGTGATGTCCCGCAAGGTAGGTGAATGGTAAAACCACAGCTCCTTTTGACACTTCTAAATTGACATCATTGAAAAAAAGGACAGTAAGAGCGATTATCGTATGATCATCTTGTTTCTTTCCCCATGCTAACCGCATCCACTTCATTTCAAATATCCATGTTTGCCTCCAGAGAATAGGATATTTTCAGTGTGTGTGTGTGTGTGTGTGTGTGTGTGTGTGTGTGTGTGTGAGGGGGTGGGGTAATTTCGTTCATTTAGTTTCACATTTACTCTGGTAGTGCCAGGAATTCGTTTGGTAGTGGGGGGAGAGATAAAAATATTAATAAAAAAGGTGAAATTTTTGGGAAGGAAAGTAATGAGAATGGAACACCTCAGGAGGTGAGAGAGTGACATGTGGCCGTTCTGCCCTTCCCCGGATCCGCATTGTTTATAACATCTTAACTGATCTAATCCCATATTTTCTTGTTGTCTCTCAGGTTATGGCTCAATAACCAACAACTACATCGCCCAGCCTCCGCCATATGCTTCAGTGGTACCCCCTACAGTAGAGACTCCGAAAGAGGCATTCGGGCCAAAGTAGGACACACAAGACTTAGAGCGCACCAGAACAGCGGACTTACAGATCCGCGGATCAAATATGGCCGACACATTGACAGCTTGATGCTGATCAGAAATTAAGCGGCGAGCTTTTTAGTGGGTCGCCATATTTGATCCGCGGATCGGTTAGTCTACTGTTCGGAATGCACTCTTAGGTACAATGGCCCATTGACCGATATCCAGTTTGTTTTCCTTTGGATCCAGTGGTCTTTTTATGTGCGGAATATTACTTAATAGAGGTTAAATACCATTTCAAAGAGTATTTTTAAAGAGTAATCAACTTATTTATTTTTGGATCTGATAAGTTAAATATGGTGTTTATATATTAAATGAATATGCATATGGAATGAGATCGGGTATACTTTGTAGACCATCGGATTCTCTGTATGTTTCATACTAGAGGACGATAACTTTATTTATTTATTTATTTATTTATTTATTTATTTAAGTAGATACAGCATGATACAAATTCAAACAATTGTTGATCACCGCAAAATGATAGGTAAAATAAACACATTAAGATAAAATACATATTTGTTTTCTTTTAAAGGATCTAAATTAAAAAAAAAAACATTTTCTGTCAAGAGATTTGTTGTCCCCCCCCCCCAAAAAAAAAAAAATAAAATAAACTGTGGTGATTAAACAGTGACCAGGCATGTGGCTCACTCCCCGACTTCCTCTATTTGCTGGTGGTGTTGGAGAAATCTGGCCACTTTAATTGATTCATGACGTCAAACAAATCTCTGCAAACACTTTACCCGGAAGATTTTGTCCAATTTTCATGTGTAACGTCGGTCTTGCCAACAAGAAACAGTTCAGCTGTTTTTCTTCATTTTGTTCATCTTGTCGTATCATTGCCTACAACATTGGTCAGAAAGGTTGTCCCACCCCCATTTCCATGTACTTTTATTTACAAATGACCACCTCACAGTTGTAAATTGTTAGAAAAAGTGCTTTTTATTACAGATACCGTGTCTAACATGATTAATTTTTAAAGTAATACAAAATAGTGGTGAAAATATATACATTTTATACCATTTATTTTAATATGTTATGTTATTTATGTTAACATACGCTGTTCTGTGCTTTTCTGGATTTGAGGGGGAGGGTCAAATCCACCGTGTGAGCGAGTTTTAAGTATGGATTTAAGTACAGAATAGCATTAAAGTTTTTCCATGAGTTGATTGTTAAGTATGGATTTAAGTACAGAATAGCATTAAAGTTTTTCCATGAGTTGATTGTTAATTTTTTTCTACTTACTAAGCCAATTTGAAATTAAAAATAAATTCTCAAACTAGAATTTGTCGAGCCTGTTAACCTGGAAGTAGCGTTCACCATTTCCTAGCCGATTAAAGTACTTAAAAGTAATTTTAAGGCGTTCATTCACATGGCATATTTAAATATAAGGCAAAAAGAAAAAGCTTTTCAAAATTGATGATGGTGAGAGAAATTAGCTATTGCTTTTCTCCCGCCATGGTTCATTTTACAACATGTATTCGACTTAAATACAGCGGGTCACGTGCCGGGGATCACGTGGGTCGGTTGTAATCTCCAAGACGTTACTCTTCCCTTGGTTTAAATATAAACTAATGGAGGCTTATCTAGGCACATGACCGGGGTATCTTGCAGGGTCACCAGCAAACAAACATGCGGTTGTTGTTCTACCATTTAGTAAACTATTCGTATGTGGACCCATTATAACATAGACCTGCCTCACTTATCACACGTTAAAGCTCTGAGGGATCGCATACCTGTATCATAATTCGCATAAATTAAAGCACGGGTGAAAACTCATGTGCATGACATTGGTACATATGCGTTTTGAGACCCGCATGCATTTTACCATCCGACGTTGTTACTTATATATGGACAACCCGAGCTGCTTTTGGTTAATTATTTCTTCTGCACGTATCTTAAAGTGCAAGGCGACTTTAGAACGCTAGCAGCGCTTGGGGCATCATGGCGGGGGATGGTGGTAAAACGCATTTAATTAATGAGGATCACAGTGATCACAGTGACAGTGATGAGGATAAGTTCGGAAGCAGTGTGAACGTCTCAGCTGAAGATAATCTCCCAGCCAAATATGTCTACCCAGGTCAGCCTGTAAGCGGTGTATTTCCGCCAGTTCCCTCTCCTGCCACAACGACCGTGGGGCCGGATAAACATTTCACCCCCGTCTACTACAAGAGGCGATGGTATATCGTTTTTGTTTATTGTGTGTTTTCCTTAATTCAGTCAGTGATCTGGAATACATGGGGCCCCATTACTGTAAGCGCCGAATATGTCTTTGACTGGAATGATAGGACTATAGACTTACTGTCTAACTGGGGGCCGATCTCGTACTTGTTGACGTCGTTAGGGTTCACGTGGATCATGGATGAGAAAGGTAAACTTAGGTGAAAGTGAAAAAAAGCGGTGGAGAAAACAAGTGCACATGTACCCATGTGTCTTATGTCTGCATTCTTAATCTTTTTGTCGTTCCATATGTTCTCTCTCTCTCTCTCTCTCTCTCTCTCTCTCTCTCTCTCTCTCTCTCTCTCTCTCAGTTTCTCTTAGCTATTTCTTCTGTTGTTTCATTTATATTGTTTTTAGCGATGGTTTTTAGTAATGTCACTTTCCGTCCCGATTGCCTGGAACCGTCAAAATGACTCAGTCTGTTAATATTATATAAATTAAAATTGGATGTAACCCAATCTCATTCCATATCTTATAAATGAATATCCTGTCTACGCTATCTAGACAATCATTAAACAATTTTCTTGCATTTTTGGAAAGGAAACATGTAATGAAAAACGGAATCTCATGAATGTTAGATCGTGTTTTATTTAGGACTGCGTTGGGCTTGTCTTGCCTCGGCTTTTGTGGTAGCAGTGGGCGCCGCCTTGCGGTGTATACCAATGGACCCAAAGTCAGCAACATGGTCAGTGAACTTTTTTAATTTTTCCTTAATTATTTGATGAAATCAAATTTTTATATTGTGTTGCAATAATTTATGAATTTTAAGTAGGAAGAGACATAGAACACGCGAGGACTAATGGGCTTTGTGTAGCAGACGACAGAAGGCTGGGGAGACAATGCGTTGTCACACCTCGTACATGTAACAACTAACACAATTAGGCCTACCTGAGCACGTATATTTCATTATTCTAGCATGCACTTCAGTTTTGTTTATAAATTATTGTGAAAGTACTTATTTAATGAAATAGAAACACAAAAGTATGCGTAAAAGATGCGTAATCTGTGGAAAAGGGGGAGATAATAAAATGGGCTTGAAAATAGAATATAGGCCTAGATAATTTTAATTATTGTCTTGGCAGAGGCGTGAGCTCTGTGCGTGCTCTTCTGGGGTCAGAAAACATATTATAATTATTTCTGATTAATTCCCATGCTCTTGCAAATTTTTTATTGAAAGCATTTTAGTGTTTATTATTCAGTTTTTGATTATCTTAGCCTTGTCACTTTTCAAAATATAGTTTTAGATTGTTTATAGTTTTTTGTATGTACACGGTATGTACTCACCACTCTGAGGTGGTAAATAAATAAATAAATAAATAAATAAATAAATAATTCAGGTTCATTCACTCTGGCCAGTTCTTGAACGGCATGGGGTCCACGGTGGGCAGCATGGCCGGACCCCTGATTTCCAACACATGGTTCCCCTTGTCTCAGCGCACCACTGTGACTACCATTACTTCAATGTTCACTGTACTCGGTGCCGCCGCGGGATTCCTAATAGGTACGTGACTGGCGACAAACAGATTGTAATAGTGGTCGTTGTAATAGTGTGCTTCTCTTTTGGTTAGGGCATCTTAAGCTCATTCCTTTAACATTTAAACAATTCGATTCGACAGGAAAAAGTTGAAATATACTATTTTTATTTATCATTTATTTTTTATATTTTCAGACAGAATTCTTCTTAAATGTCGAAATGTCGGCATTTCTGGTGTCGAATTTGTCATAAAATATAATTTAAGATGTACCTTTGGCACCGACATCTTATCAAAACAATATGCGGTGTCGGTACTAAAATGTGTCATTAATATTTTAGGGCCATTTATCGTCCGAGACCCAAAATCTAATACCAGTTCTAACGCCACTGTGAATCAGACATGGTCAGTATGCTTTATGGGTAATATTGTGCCAGTCAGATCGTTAGCAATTGAAATAGCTGATATTCTGCCTGAAATGCATTAAATTTTGTTACTTTTGTGTATATGCATGAAGCTGTTTCTGTGCAATTAACTTAGTTAAATTACAATTAACAATTAAAATCTCCCACCCAAGAAGTTGAGATCGCTTCAAGATTGACAAAATCCACGATAAACAGAAAATAATACATTAAACCGGTGTAACGAAACTGAGGCTCCGTGTAACAGAGAGTCCGCCCTCTATTTAGCTATAATGGTTAAGGTTAGCCTGACCTAGGTGGGTCAAACTCTACGGCGAGGCTTACCTGTACAAATGTATTATCTCTAACATGGGGGGCTTTCTGTCACGTTACACCGGGTTATCGCGTGTATCGAGGATATCAGACTGATTTTTAAATGCATTGTATAACGTTACCTTTTTACTGCTCACAAATCACTCCCACTATGTCTCTACATGTTTTCATTGCAGTAATTTAACGAGAGAAGAGGTGGCAGGAGACATACACAAGCTAATGTATATAGGTAACGGGTTGATTCATTTCATTTCATTCTGATTTCACAATGAAGTCCTTAAAACATGGCAATGAGTGTGCGTGCGCGCGTTCGCGCACGAGTGTGTGGGGTCCACGGGATCTCGTACATATTAGCAAAAACATAAATAAAATATAAGGAGTGAAATGAAAAAAATACTAATACCGGAGCGACCATCGCTCAAATTTTAAGATTTAAATTCTAAGCTCAGATGAACAGTCCTAGAGGGCGATATGTAAATGAGGTCTCTCGGGTGGAATCTCTCCCGTGTATAATTCCGCCTATAACTCGCATTCACATTGTCGGGGACATCTAATAATTCATAGACAATGTCAGCAATATCAAGTAATAACTTTAATTGTAAACGGTAATTCTCTATAATACATTATGTCAATTCTGAAGAGGCTGAGTAAGGCTTGTTTACCAGTCTCATTAAGAAGCCAGTGATAAGGAAGTGCATGAAGCCATTGGCTGGACTACATACTAAAGGGTGTAATAGTGAATAGAGAGGCAGAATGTACCTGAGCAGGCAACGAGTTCACATTAAAAGTTTGAAACAGGTTATTACTGTCAGAGTAGGATTTCCTTCTCACAGGGGTGGAGAAGTTCTTAAGGGTGTTCCCCACAACATGTTGTCTCCAGAGGACGAGTAGACAACAAAGTCATCGTAACAAAGAGACCTTTTTTCCCTGTGCAGTTACACTACTTGGTCGTCTTTTAGAACAGTATGTGAATAGAGCATGGCCAAACAGGCATCTAATTATTCACATTGTCCATGTTTCAGAGGCTGGGATCGCAGTGGCAGTATTCTTAGCCATAATTGTATACTTTCCCGCCAAACCACCCACGCCTCCCAGCGTGACCGCTGCTGAAACCAGAACAAGTTACTTCTCTGGACTGCTGGCGTTAGTCAAGTATGATTCCCTTCTTTCTTTGATGTCATGCAAATGCAATATAAGACTACCAAGAATACCCATAATCACTCGAGTACAATAGGCCTTTGTTAATTTGTTAGTATTAAAAAGAACGTTATTATTATGCTCTAGTCGCTAGTCTCTTCGTGTAAGAAGTCATATTTTCAATATTTTCTACTACGTGCTATACAATTTTAATGACTTGAAATTGGGTAACTGTACCTAAGTTGTATAACGTAAGTTGGTGGTTGGTACAATGCAGGTCCTTAAGTTCGACAAATAATATATAGATGGGCAAACAAATGATTAAATAAGTTGAAAAATAAATGAATGAACACAAATAAGTGCACCAATAAACTGACAAACAAATATTTAAATAAAAAAATCCTGGCAGCGTTGATGGGAGCATTATCAATTTAACTTCTGTGTTTACCAGAATGTGAATGGGATTCTCGCCTTTTAACTACTCTTCTGTAGTGCTCTTCACGTAAACATGTCTAATGTAAAACTCCAGAATACGGCCCCAGATCCTTAACGAGAGGCAGTGCCATACTGTCGGATTTAGGGTGTCATGAGTCACTATTTTACTTTCCCTCCGTTAAACTCCCAGTGGAAGAAATCAGTACGTAAGTCGCGATTGATTCAAAGACGCATGTACACGCGCGTATGAAAAAGGTCCGCGTGTGTTCGTATCATACAGTATTCAACAAGATTTGAACCTACTACAAAACCAATGAAGCTTGTTGATAATTCATTTCGGTCTTTCTATCTTTCGCTGCGACGTATCTTGACAGTGAAAACAGGGGAATGCGAGATCAAAGCTTTCTCCATTTATTAGATTGTCTTTTTATTGGTGTATTCAGTTGTATTCATTCATTTATATATCAGTTTATTTTTTCATTTAAATACTCCTCTATAAGTTATTTGTAAAAAAAATAATTGATAACATAGTACGAACCATCCTCTCAAATTATACAGCTGAAATACAGTTACACATTGTGAAGTCATAAAAAATGTAAAACACGTAGCAGACAATGATTAAAATATGGCTTCTTGCACGTAGAGGCTAGCGGGTGCAAAACAGTAATGTACTTTTAAATTTTAACAAATGAAAATGTCGGGTGGCTAAAACACTACTTATTTTAAAGTCCAATTACTTCAACAGTTTTGAAGATACTGTTATGAAATTTGAGATGTTTAAGGAAAGTGATGTTTCATATTCACTTTGCCATCTATTAAAAATCCCAGTTGAAGAAATCAGTGCGTGCGTGTAGGTCGTGATTAATTCAAAGATACATACGCTAACGAAAAATAGTCCGCAGTGCGTGTGTTCGCACGATATTTTGCTTTGAACTTGCTACAGAATCAATAAAACTATTTTGGATCAATTACTCTCTCTCTCTCTCTCTCTCTCTCTGCCTTGTATTTTGGCATAGAAAACAAGGTGAATGAGGGAAGTGCCCTAGGCCTGTCTAAGCACTGTTTGGGCGTACATAAAACCCCGCCGTGTACCATTTAAAGGTACTTTATCGAAGACTATCCCGGCAAATCGAATTTTCTGCGAGCAAAAATAATTTTTCTTATTCACGAATCATTGATTGGCCTCTCCTTGCAGTAAGATTGGGCATCTATATATCATTGCTTTATATCATTATTTGTTAATGAAACAGTTTGAAAATCATATTTCCCCTCATTGTATTGTTGAAAGATTTGTGTTGCGTCTCCCCTGTCCATGTTTCAGAAAACCCCAGGTGTGGCTTATTGCCACCCCATACGGCCTCTCGGGTGTTTATGCCACGTGGAGCTCCGTACTGGGTGTGAACCTTCAGCACCACTCTGATGTGTCTGAGGTAGGACAGTGTTATTCACATATACATCATGATTTATATAAATTATGGTTTTGATTTATTGAAAAACAGTGAGATAACTTATTTGATGCGTTAAACAGTATTTTTGAGTTTACAAGTTGATTACTCAGACTCATCGCGGGCCAAAGTATTCATTTTGAAATGTCCATACACGCTCGCATCTCAAGCTTCTGAATTTCTGTAGAATTTGATTGAAGTTCAGTTGTGTATGATAGGTTGAGCTATTATAAACATTGCATGCTATTCAAAGAAACAACTCACTCTGAAATGCTTTCTATCTGTCTAATATTTTAGAAAGATGCAGCATTTCTTGGTTTTTGGAGCATGATTGCAGGTGTGGTTTTTGCTGTGATTCTAGCAAGGTATTCGATTGTGTTTCAGTTCACAAACCTATTGTCTCAGTCGTTCCCAAAAGGCTTCATTTAGTTTCTATTTACCTTGCGAACCGTTTATTTATAACATCTTCACTTTTAAAATCATATCTAATCACTAGGTCGTCCCAACTGCCACTGTGATTTAGGGCGTTTGTCGTGCCAGTCTGTCAAGCACACATTTTATAGAGATAGCATTGTATAAGATTTAAAGCAATATGGACTATAGACATCTAGCTGATCTGATCTGCTGGTTGACTAAAAGCGCCGCATGCGGTTTACTACGTATTTTCACTTCCACAGGTTCGCAGACGTTTTCGTGGGGCACTTGAAGGTTCTGGTGTTGGCTTTGTTGGTTCTCGCCACGGCCGCCTTCGCATGGTTTGCGGTGCTCTTAAAGTTCGTCGATTTTCACACGCCTGGGTGGAAAGGTGAGAACAACATTTTTGGTAGAACAGGCCCATAGCCAGGGGGGGTTCGGGGGGTTCGAAAGAACCACCCTTTTTGCTGGGAAAAGGTCCACTCTGGGTAAAAATTGACCTATGTACTTGAGGATTTTATGGTAAAAGGTCCACTTTATCAGAAAACGAACCCCCCCTCTGAAATTGCTGGCTACGGGCCTTAAGAATTTTATATACATTCATTTTTGCTGTTGTGGTAAATGCAGAATCTTGAAGGAATACCGAGTTCATTCAGAGTATTATTACAGGAAGGGTATTCATAGTAGGTTTTTGAATCATCAGAACCAAAAATTAATGGAAACCCGACTGCGGCCATGACTTTAACAGTGAAATGAATTGTTTTTAACCAATTTCCAATCTAAAGTAGTTTAGACGTTAACTTTGCCACAGATGTGTAACGTCACATTTCTTTTTTTTTTAGTCATGATTTATGCCGCCATAATTCTTGGAGGCATGTTCCAGTTAGGTTTCCCGTGTCTTTGTTTTGAGTTGGCGTGTGAAGCAAGCTATCCCGTAGCCGAGGGGATCACCACTACATTTCTAGGGATAATAAACAATATATTTGCCGGTGCCTTTCTACTCATTTTCATGATTATTCCGGACGGTGAGTTTACTGTTAATATTATATGAAAAATGGATATTGTGTTTGCGTGATTTGTGCACTGTAAGTTGTAAAACGCCGGGACTCTATTTGCCGTCTAAACGCCATGTTGGAATCAACGGCCATGTTGATGCTCCTCAGAGACTAACATGTACTCCTAACCACAAATGAAAGAGATCGTTTACATTGTGTCTTCTCTATAAAACCCGTTGTTATTGCTTATAGTTAATTTCGTTCCTTATTAAAGGGATAGCAACCTTTTTTGGCGGGGAAGTGCCGTGAAACGCATATTCTAGGGGATAAATGACGATGGTCCCATACTTATCAATGGTTGGTGAATCCCTTCCCACATTCGAAGTTAGTCGATTATTTTTAAGTGTGTTTTTGCTAATAATCTCTTAAGATTGTATTACGGGGGTGAATCATCTATGAATGTCCACGACTTTCAGAAAAAAATATTTTGGTGATAAAATTGAATTTTTTATATTCCAATGTGATGTTTACAATACATTTGTTGTGGAATTTTGAATCTAATGAAGCGTTGTTATCCCCTTAAGCCATGAAAATGCCATCACTCTCATTCTCTCTATTATATAGCTTGGATTATGACCTGGTGTTAGCAAGTTTAATCGAATAGTTGGCTAAAACTCTTAAAGAATCAATATAGTGTCTAACGTGTTACTCGTAAGGAGTGTTTGATATCGGAGATAGGAAGATCGTTAAATTATCATTTAGTTATATTATTATTATATTATTGCCTGTCAAATGCTGGATTTTCTTTGCAATTGCCTCCTCTAATTTCAGACAAAGAGTTCATGAACTGGGCGATGGTCGCCGCGGTTGCTCTCGGAGTACCTGCCACGTGCCTGTACAAGGAGCGATATAGCAGGCTGCTACTGGACACTCAGCGTTCAGTGGACAGTGGTCAGCGGAGTGACCACGATACTGAAAGCTAAAAGTACGACACAGGAGTGTGTGACCGGAAGGTGGACACGGTCGAAGAGAGATAACTGTGAATTTATGATGGGGAAAATTACAATGATTGTTGCGTTTGGATATAGTGAGGCGGGCAACGAAAAAATGTTCTTTTTTTAACTCTGTCTTCTCAATTTATGACTATTACACTTTTGCAACATCTCCACGCATAACAATATAAATGAATAAGATGTTCATTGACACAATGCAGCGTCATTACAACAATAATCACAAATGTCTATTCAGAGGTGCATGCACAGATATTCGTGCAGAGTTTTAATTTGCACCCAGACGAACTTTTAATCATCATCCATTTTTTTTACTAATATGGAGATAATTATACACATATCGGACAATAAAGACCTACTGCTGTTCTATATACATAAAAGTCCACCTTAGTATGGTGAACCACCCCTCCAGAAAGTTCTGTTTCAACTATGCTCGACTTTTAACTGCCATTTGATGGTGTGCTCCGAGAAAGAGTTGATTTCAACCAACCTGATATCATGATACATGTAGTTAACATGTAGGAGAAGGGGCTTCATCAGATCATTGAAACCACTACAGATATGCTGTCTTTATTCAGCCAGCACACTCTTTCGTTTGTATAAAGTGCAACACACAGGTAAATTAGATTAAATCGTGTTTTCATCGCCCCCTTATTTGAAATTACGCGCAATACTATACCCCCATAAAAAAAAAAAAAAAAAAAAAAAAAAAAAAACGCCTCCCTTTTTCACCGTGGCTGTACGCAGTTCAGTGGATATTTAGTATTTGGTTGACACGTCTGAGGTCTCTGATAGTTACATGTATCTAGCTATATCACGGGTTACAGCAAGGTCTCTGAGTTAAGGCTATTGTAACCTTTCATTATTCCATTAACCCTTCAATAATGCATCTATCTTTGTGCTGATTTAAAACAATAAAAAATCTCGAAAATATAAAATATCGGCGTTTATATTTTATCGCTGCAATGTATAAGCATAGGCATCACAAAGCTTTAATAATTAATTTGACTCCTTTCTTTTTTGAGGTGAGGCAATCGGTATGGGGCGTAACTTCATCCCTCAACAAGATTTTATCACAAAAATTGGCAGAGTTGATAACGAGTGAATATTTCTCAATCCCATGCCGTCATTTTGGCTCAACTCTTTTTGTTGTGGAGTTAGGAGCCCCTAATTACAGGTTTTCATTAACCAGAGGCATTATTTTGCTTTATTAAAGATAAAATCTGAACGACGACCTTCAAGAAAAATCGCTGACAGTTTTTTAGAGTATTAAATGGTGTCATTCAATCGGCGTTGAAACGGTGATCGCAGGTGCTCAGGTAGAGAAGAAATTTGAGAAACCGCTTTTCAGTTTTCGTCCCCAAAAGTCGCAATTATGACGTCGCCCGTAAGATGACATATGTGTATATGTTAACTAATTTTGTCACTGTACAACGAAAATTAATTTATCACCCAAAAGAATGTATTTAAGGCAATAAATAAGCAGTTTTGGGCGAAGGGTTAAGATATCATTGAAAGAACAATTACATAAAAATGTCATGATGTTTAACGTTAAGCATTTATTTGACCTTGCCCAAGGACCTTTAGTTTCTTAAACGTGTCTCATTAACGAGATAAAACGTTCTGCGGCACGTGAATTCTCCGTCACAATCAAATAGAGAATTTCTGTTATATTATCTAATGCAAAACTACCTACACGACTAAAATGTTTTAATTGTACTGGTACGACATTTAACTCTGAATAACCCAAATGTAGGAAAAATGTCAGTTAAGTGAAATGGACGCGTCCACCAAATGTTGGCATTAACACATATTACGAACGAAATACGGAAATACTGAAATATCTGTAAAAAAAGTCATACGAAACACGTATATAAAATAACAATAATAATAATAATAATAATAATAATATTTGATGTTTTTTTAGTTTAACCCTTGGATGGTCTGAAACAACAAGCTAATTGTTATCGAATCAAAACAATGCCGCTGTAACACATTTAGCTGTTAGTACCAGACAGTCATAGATGCGAACGCCGATTGTTAATCAGCTAGCACAAAAAGAAAAAAATGATGAGAGCATTGTGGGCCGATTTACCTCGACGGTGGTATGACAAATGAATTGGCACTCACCCAGCGGGATAAAAGAAAAGAAGCATTGAACACGGTACCTTGCACGCTTTTTCCAAGAAGGAAATAGTTTGTAAATCTGTCCCATAATTCTTATCAAAAGTTGCATAAACGAAATTAAGGATCCGTGGCACGCGTCTTTGTTGACTATAAAAAGAGATGTCCGAGCAACTTTACGCTATCATTGGCGAGGTTCATTTGAAAGATCGCAATGGCTAACGTCAAAGTATTGATTATTGCCTTGTTCCTGCTGGCTGCCGTGGGCGTGGCCACTTCCTGCTATTCCTGTCGCGGTGGCAGTCTCCGTAAGTATAATCATGGTTTCTGTTCACACTGCATGTTAACGGGGGACGTCAGATACCCAATTGACAGGGTTTTGGTTCGTACTGTTCGCATATTGATTTTCAGCTTTTTCAGTATTCACATTGTTTAGATACTGGTCATTATTAATTTGGAGGGGGTTAGGGGTGGAGGAGAAAATGGCTGTGATCCCCCCCAAAAAATTCGGGAACACTCCTGATAGTATTCAAATTTTTTCGGGACCCCACTTCCGGATTGATTGAAAAATTCAGCCTCCATCCTCAATGAAAATATCAGAACAGCGTTCAGTAGTAAATTATCTAAAAACATGGCATAAAAAGTATTTCAAAAACACTCCACTCATGGGGGTGCTTTAATGAAATATTTTATGTGCAAATTGAAAGATTTTACAAAAAAAAAAAAAAAAAAAAACGTTGTTAAATCTCTGTTCAATGTAGGTACTCTATAATAAGACAGGATTTAACTGTAGATACTCAACAGTGCAGAATTTATTCTATTCATATATATATAATATTCTTATGATATATATATATATTATTCATATATATATATATATATATATATATATATATATATTATTCTTATGAAAGAACACTAGAAGCATGAAAAGAAAGTTGAAATATAACATGAAGTTTAATCAGACAAGATTTTTTGACATTTTTTACATACATGTATTCTAGTGAGGTATATGATACAATGGTACACACACTGGACAATAGAAGGGTCACCCCCTTAATCAGAGTAATCAAAGTTATTAACCTGAAGAGGCGGAATATAAGAAATGTCAGAATATCGATACAGTTGAATTGTTCAGTCAGAACCGTTTCTTTTGTGAAATTTGATGTTAATAAAATGATACCAGGAGCATATCATTCCACAGTCATTTATCTCCCCCAAAGTATTGGTTAAGTAGGGGTGACACTTCCATTGTCCAGTGTGTGTATATAAATCATAGAGATGCATTAAAGCAGGTTGATGCTAAACATCCCAAAAGAAAAAAAGTTGGAAAGATAAGTGAATTAATTCAGGTGTATATACAAATGTATGTCAATGTAAAGGTATATATGCCTTGTTTTCCTTTAATTTCAAGATGGAGGGTACTTGCGATGCGGCTTAAGAAACCCGTGCCGCAACGTGCATTGCAGACGCGGATACAGTTGCGTGTAAGGAGAAAAGAGCTGCTTGCAGCTTCTATGCTAATTCAGATAAATGACGAAATTGCTCTACAGTCATAGTGAAACGTGTGTGTGTGTGTGTGTGTGTGTGTGTGTGTGTGTGCAGTATGTGTACGTTCGTTTGGATAAAGAAAGTGAAAATCACACTCTCTCTCTCTCTCTAATCTGAAATAACATTACGATAATGTGGAGCTCTTCTTTTCCAAGTTCCCTTATTTGGCAAAAGACATTTGGGTGATTTTGGTACATTTGTTTGTGCAATTTAAGTACTGTTTTTTTCTGCCTCCAATGCCATACTGACACTCAGCTTGAATTTATTCTCTGACATTTTCAGGCACGGTTGCGCATGCAGAGCTGTCTGCAGGAGGCGCAGGGGTTGCTATTATTACGGATAATCCGATTCAAACCCTTGGCTACCTTCGATGCAACCAAAATGCAACGGAATTTGCTTCACCCAAGTCATTTGCAGGACTTTGATGCTTTACCTCTTTTTCCTATTGAATGATTATACAAAACAGACTTAAGTGTTTACGTTATTTCGGCCTACCGGTTGCACAATGTAGCCTAATAAAGCAACGCATGAAAATATTTAATGTGCTATGTTGTCATTGCAAGTATTATGGGCTTCGCTTAAGACTGCGGGGAAAGAATATACGGCCCTTGTGCCTAGAATAAATTTATGAATAAACAAACAAAAACAAACAAACAAACAAACAAACAAACAAACAAATAAATAAATAAATAAAGTTGCCATATCTTGAGATTTGATAAGTTTATTGGAACCTCAACATATTTACAAAAATGCAACTGTAAGAACTGTCCAATATTCATATACATACATACGCTCAATTCTGGATAGTTTTCGTCTCTCATTTTTGCATTGTTGGCGTTTTTAACTGGTAATTTCTGGATACGAACCTTACTATATTTATCCCCTGTAGGCAGCCTGATCACCATGCTACCAACAAGAGTACGGGCTTGGTCAGGGCACAATAAAGCTGGCTTGCTCATTGCACCTTTCCATGTGTGGGATTTACAGGGTTGATGTGGGTTATATATGAAATCAAGATCGAGCTGACAATACCGAAATCTAGAACCTAGGGTAGGGCTTGGCAGGAGTCGGTCTAAATTAATAAGGGGTTGATTCTCCTCTGCACAGAGCACCCAAACACATCCCACAGATGCTCAATAGGGTTATGACCAGGAATCAGTGTTAGTTGTTCCATCCTAATGACATTTTTGAGAGATCGGGCCACTCTAAGGAAAGATGACACGAATTTGGAGGAACGAACTTTTTTGTTTCCCGCGTTGTGCATAGATACGATCTACACGTAATTCGTATATCATATATAGCTGCATACAGGAGGCATGTATGTCAGCCTCATTTCCCGTTAGAAAATGTAACAGAGCTCACAGATCCCAATTGTTTTGCCAACAGAACATTGTTTACATGGCAACGGCCCCAATATGCAGTGTTATATGGGAAGTGTTTTCTGTAATTAATTAACACTTTTTCATGCACATAGAAAATAACACAGTAAGCTTTAGCGTTAATTGTTGTTGTAATTTAGCTTTCATATGATTTTGCAGTCAAACGTGCCCGGTTTTCCTCACTGGCTATTATACGAAACGACAAATAGTCTCTTTTCTTATATTTTTTCACTAAAGAAACCACAACAGGCTTCTGGCTCTATTATTCCTGCTTTATTACCCCGACGTGCTCAATGTATATTGACACAAGAAAGAACGAACTTAGAAGCCTTAATAACTTTGTCAGCTCTGGCTGATAGTTTTTAATTGCAGTCGACAAGCTATTCTCCCTTCCTCATCCATGTGATAACGTCAAAAGCAGTTTCAGCAAAACTGGGTTTGGTTCTAGATCCTGGGCCTTGAGATCTACACCCCACAACACAATTCACCTGACCATTTATATAACTATTTATTTTAAGAATTTATCCGTTTCTCTGTTTATTCAAAACATTCATGTATTAATTAATTTTATTAATAAATATTATCCATTCACTATATCAAATCAATAATTGTTTGGTTTCTCCCTCGCTCAACATTATGCTTACAGTATTACTCAACGAATACAGACAAATCGCATTATGTAGGGCGGAAAAACGATCGTTAATTTCCGCGAAGAACTCCATCAGCGTTTGCTATTGTCCTCAGAATGTTTCCTTATTATCCGAAATGACCCAGTTGAATCTGGGTTGATACGATTGATATGCAAGTCTTATCACATACGTCATTTTGACCTGATTGTCTCTTCTGTGGTGCAACTTATGTAATGCAACATTGCAATACTCAAATCATATAATCGTGTTGGTTTCCAGAGAACGAGTACATAGATATTAAGTGTAGATAATAGAAAAATGTCATAAGGCAGAGCGCACATGTTGTTATTTCCAGGCAAAGGATCCATTTGCCTTTCAAAAGATTCATCGTATGAAAAGTCGAGACGGCACGTGACAGATAGAGTTACCTTTGTACAGGAGTACGTTGCATGGATTCCAAGATGTGTACTTTGCTGTGTCCAATGATGCATGAAACCAATGAATTACAAAGTCTTTGTTAGAAAAAGATAATATTTTTTTTAGTTAAGTAGACCGTTCACAAGGTACATTTCTGACAGCACATCGCCTTTGGGTGGTACATGTCCTTGAATTCAGTGAGTCGATAGTATTATTTTCGGTGAGCCAATTCCTTTCCTGATGATGGGTCGGAGCGGTATGAATCGATCATAAACAGAAAAAGACATTTAATCTCTTCAGAAATAATCTCATTTTTTTTATCACCAACAAATAATGTGAGGTTGTCAAGCAAGTTGCACCAGTAAACAAGTATGGAATTTTACAAGGTTCGCGAGTTTGAAGATGCATATATCACAGACATAAAGTGAGTTCCTTCTCTCTGTCTCTCTCTCTCTCGGTCTGTCTCTCTCTGTGTGAGCGCGCACGCAGAGGTATATTTAATAACCTTGTTCCTTTCTATTATCTAGATCAAGTAGATTAATAGATTTATATTAACGTAGAGCTTACCCCCACAAATCCAAAAAATCTGCAACTACTCCAAAAAAAATGGGGCCTCGGTGAAGTTTGTTTTGGTTGCTTCCAGTATGAACTCTGCCACTCTGTTCTAAACAATAGAGAGTATATCGTGCTTGTCCTAAACTGTCGTCGTAAACTCAAACATGGTTTCAAGTGGTCCAAGTGATGTTGTGGTTGATCCAGCCACCATGTTTACTTTCCATAAAAGAAGCTAGATCTTCTGATCTCAAAATAAACTGTTTTGTGTTCTCTCCGGATCTCTAAGACGCACTGCGTACGAATTACTACACGTGGATGGGTGAACTTCTACAACGTATATCCAACACTTCCCTTCTTTTTTGTCTCAAATTAAAATACGGGTTAGTCGTTTGGTTACCAATTAACCACTGGCAATGTTTTAATGGAGATCAAACGATCACCTATTTCCACACAGCACACAGTCTAAATAGAGTGTTGCGCATGCTGGTCGCAGTTTTCTTCCTGTGACGAGAAATTAGCTGCATGTATATATCTGTCATGTTGATCCAAAGAGTTGTTTATCTTGTGCCTTTGTGCGTCAGCAAGTGGAATTTTCAGGTGGAAATGGCCTATTGTCAGGGATATATACAATATATGGTGATTATTGGACATTTCTTCCTGTGCATTGTGGCATATCGTATCTATCATTTAAGAGTCATGCAGTACGCTTTAGAACTTTACGTATACGGTAGCAATATTTCTCTAATTAAGAATATCAACATTTTCGAAAATCAGCACGACATAGAATATCCAAACATTGGCAGTATTACTAAATATAAACCTGGTTTTGAGCTCCCACTTTCTAATTTTCAGTAACTCAGGCGTAGATATAGAGGGGGATTTCACTCTTGCAGAACAAAATTAAAACATTTACATTTTTACACTGATGATTTTCGTCATGCCGACCATTAATAACTGCAGCTCTGGACAAAGTAAACGTGAAACTGAAGTGATTGCGAATAACTGGAAAGCAATGGAGCTTCGTATTAATTTGGCAAATACAATAAGTCTATATGCTGCCAAGTTTATTAAAGGCGTTTTAAGATATATAGGTACAAACAAAAGAATTATCAATGACGGTTAAATAGAGCCACCATGTGATCAAAGGTCTTTGATGATGGATCGGAATTGTATGACACATAGGCAGAAAAAATAGTTCTCAGAGGATTTCATTATTCCCCCCATACCTGTAGAAATCCTTTGTAAAAGGTTTGTGATCTGCCAGTGTCAAGTTCACGCATACTCCAATACAAGAACGGCGCACATTTTGATAAAATGCTGATTTATTGATTTTTTTTCTCAGTTTTACGTTCTACAATATAGCCGTGTTATTAACAGATAACGCTTTGTCGTATTTCTTTCTTTCTATTTTTCTTTCACAGTTTTATACAGGCCGACATTCTGTGTCTAAATTGTTGAGTGGAATCACAGGAATGTTAATCAAATAACTACATAGTGTTCAGTTACGATCAATAAATTCGTCTTTCTTGAAGGTGCCCTGGCAAGAGCATTATGTTTTTACTCAGGCAGTAACCCCCCATTTACACTTGACGGCGCCCTTTTTGCGTTCCATAGTACGGCCCTGTTTGAGAGCAAAATAAATAAATAAATAAATAAATAAATAAATAAATAAATAAATAAATATGACAGGGATTGAGGGTACTGACACACATTATGTTTCTACACAGGGAGTAAACGCACTGACACACGTCTTGCTCTCGGCGCAAAAGCGTGTAAAACTTCTGCATTCATCCGCGGTGCAGTTCTTTTCGTCCGAAATGTCCGTAGCTGGGCAGTCCGGTGACCCGTTACAACGCTTGTCAACAGCTATGCAGGTGGACGATACCTCACACGCGAAGGAACCCAGGTGACATGTCCCGTCAGAGCAAGCATTTGTCGTCTTCACACAGCGGCGGTCAGAAGGGCAATAGCGTACCTCCGCCCAGGTCTGGCATTGCTCTGGGAGGCAATCCTTCTCGTCGGAACCATCCTGACATGTATTAGTGCCGTCACAGCGGTGTTCCATGGGAACGCACGTGTTTCCAGTTTCGCAGCCAAAGTGACCATCGGGACAAGGCTTTTCGGTACAGGGGCGTCTCACATCCACACACGTGGAGTTCGGAATACAGGGGACATCAGCCGTGTGGCATTCTGAAAATAAACACAATAAGATTCTTTGAAGGCAAAGGCTGAGGTGAAAACTGTGGTGAGAAACATACCTTATGAGACAATAATAATAGCTTTCTCCTAATGTCCAGTGTCAACATAATATGGTGCAATTAGAACTGCATTCAAAACGATGTATCAGAACTTATCTGCCATTGAAAAAATACTAGTCACGATGTAAAACCAACGCCACCGCAATAAGTAGCCATAGTAAGAAAATCAGATTATTTGTTTTACATCTTATTTTGTTTTGATGTTTTAAACAAGTCAAAATAAAATCACATTTTACCAATAAACCACAAAATCTGATTGACGTTGGTACAAATTATAAAAGTGGTGCACTATTCCATTACTTTGATGAGTACCTGTTAAGTACTATTAACTGTTAAGTAGCTATTCCCACTTTGTCTCAGTCTTTCATGACTTATAATACAGTTTTGAAGAACCTAGCTTACCTGGTTGAATTACAAATGTGGCTGGTTTCCCGTGGACATGGAAGCACACCAAAACTATAACAACTAAAGCAGGTAAAGAATATGAACTACAGTTTGCGCCCAAATCTCGGTGAAGATCTTTCGTCACCATGGTCATAATACTTCGGACGTTTCACAACGACTCGGAGTCGAGTAGTGTGAACTTTCCGAGGTTGATTAGTCTAAATAGTTTTCCAATAAAGATCGATACTTTCATGAATGTCGGTCTAGTAAACAAGACACCATATAACCGGAAATGACGTTTACCTGTGTATTACTGATAGATTTTCTAAACCAGGCAAAAAATACCCTCTAAACCGGGCACAAAAAGTCCTCTTATATGCAAAGGCAGACTTATTAGAAACCGAAAGAATAAAAAACGCCCATACTGTGTTCATGATCTAGAAATGGATGCCTGATTGACGCATTGTTAGTGTATAAAGAATGGAATATAAGGAGTTATCCAAACCACAAAAGTTCACTTCTGAATTTCAGATGAAGCACCTGTAAAACTATAAAAATACGAGTCACGTTATCATCAAATGTGGGTTAGTTATAGTGTCAATTACGTTTACCGATGTGTTAAATGTTTCGCTAGTTCCAGAATTAGCAATCTCAGGAATTAGAGGAAGTGCGCATTTGCATCAGGGATAATTTTATCTTTAGTCTAACGAAAATAAAATGAGAAACAAACCTTTGAGTGATCGATAACAGTCACTAATATGGTCCGGTTAGTTAACCACAAGGCGGCCACGCACTCAAATGGAACCGACACCTGCAAATGGCCAAAACTACGGCTATATACCTACTAGTATTTCAACCACAAGTGTATTAAAACCTTGTTTCTAGGAAAATTTAACGAAGTCGTTACTGGATGCAGAATTGCTGTGCTGCGCGGATTAAGACATAACGTCACAGCAACGTCCAGGGAGCTTAGCTATGACCCATGAGTAGAGTAAAATATTCCATTAATATGCTCAGCTGATGAGAATCTCAGGCAAAATGGACTGAATAGGTGAAAATGAACAATTTAGTTTTTTCTAACCAAGCGGCGGTTGAAGACAGACCTCATCTGTGCTCTCCACAGGCTTGAGTAGATGTAAATAAAGAGCAGCAAGGCTTCACTTTTGCCGCTTCCAGGTCAGAAAGAAACTGTTGTATAACTAAAAGTATAATTCGTGACTTTGAAAACCCATAGTGCTGGACCGCTATTTATATATTATGTACGCATATGCTGAATTGGTGCTGTCACGATAATACATTATTTAAACTCAAACTCAAATTGTAATATTTTAAAAATTATTTTATTGGTCTTCGCACACTTTTACAAAATGTGTATGAACTCAGTTTTTATATATAATTAAAAACTTACATGTATGCATACAGTTATACGTTTCTGACATTTAATACTGTGGCATTTCTGTCTAGTATGTTTGAGTAAACATATACAGGTTCAAGGCTGTGAAGGTTTTATTTGAATACTCAATGGATAGCTTTGGGGTACGCCGTCGAGTGCTGTGCTTCTTTGTCTAATACGTATTTATATATCTGGCAACTGGCTTTATGTTTGAAGTTTTTATCAAATGTCTTCCGTGTTCTGAAATGCTCTACTGCCTCTTTTTGGGTGAATGCCAAGTATCCCACACGATGGCCTGTCTTTAACGTGCGTATTGTGATATTGTGAGGAGAAATGCACTTCATCCTTCCATCACAAAAAGCTATTATTTTAAAGGGGGTACTAGGAGTAGCTTTTTGTATCCTCGCCTCTGAAATTCAAGATCCTGAGCCCCGATCGTAATTAAAGCCTCGCTAAGGCGTTGATCTTATATTTTGAGATTTTGAATTTGAATGTTTCAATTTTGCAGTAAGTGGAACAACTAATATGATCGAAGAAGGCCATTTTCTCTATGCATATATTTCTTTAGAAAATAGGTCTTAAGTAGTGTGTTTTAAAAAACTTGTGTACAGTGCAGCAGTGAATCTTACTTGTTAGTAATTAATTATTACAAATGTATAAAAGTTAGTATTGCCCACCATTGTATGAGATGGCCGATTTGCCACCGTGTCTAATGAACTCCATCAATTCTACATTGCTTGTAACATATTCTGGAATGTAAGAATTGAATAATGTCTCCAATTCAGACATCTTTCTAAGAGTAGCTGTATCACAGAATCACAAAGTGCAGTCACAGAAACTGCAGACAGAGAATGATGTGTTTTAGTATCCGTGTTCACTGATTGTGCGTCCTCTCCTGGATTCGCTTGAAATAAACTTTTAGCACCTCGCCTGCACAAACGCACTGCCAAGACAACGTCACGAAAGAAACACATCAGAGTTCGCCTGCGCTGTCCTCTCTACTGACCATTTCAGTGCCGCGTGTAGGCTTTAAATACTGAGGTATATGGTATTCGGAACCCCCCTTGTTATGATTTACTTCAAACTTTGGACCCGAGTTGTACTGACACGCCCTTGCTTCGTTGTTTTGAGGAACTTTCCACCAACAACAGCCCCAACGGCCTCGATCACATGCAGCAGAGTCAGAACACTAGCTCCTATAAACAAACCCATCTGGCCTCCTATGTCGCCTGGAAAATAAAAAGTAAGTGAAGGTGAAGGTCGGGGTGTTTTAATACTCAGACGAATGGCGTGGTTGGCGCTTTAGTAATTGCACCGTTATTTACATACGCGCTTGTATGATACCTACAGTGTATTGTGCCCGTAAAGTGCTGTATACGCTTTTCGATCAGGGGCAAGTCAAACGTTTGCAATAATTTCAAAACTAAGAAACATTCAGGATAATTTAAGTCCAAATAAAAGTCGGTCTTCATTCACAGAATGAAAATCCAAGACCCTTTCAACCATTTCGCCCATCGGTATCATTATGCATTTGTGAACTGCAATGGATCCATTCTGGGTTCATTGATATTTTTTGTATTTAACTTAAACCTTTGAACTGTTATTTTGTTAAACAATTTTAAACTGTAATTCTACTTTAGATGATTACAATTGAAAACATTATTACAATGGGGATTTTAAATATATATATATGGTGATTTTACTAACTAAGTAATGCTGGTATGGAATATGCTTTGATTTGTCTGATGGTCTCATAGCACAGCTCTTCGTAATAGATGTTCAACACCAGTAGGTTATCTCTGCTGAAAATAGAAACTATTTGTAGTTACAGTAAAGTTCAATTAACAATTAATACTTTTTTCAAATTGTCGCTAATCATTATTTTTTTCTTAAAACAGAAGCAAGTCTTTTCAATGCAACAAGTGCGGAATAATAAATTTATAAAAACGTTTAGCGGGTTTCACCGTCATAATTCAAAGATGTGCTTTTATATAACATCAGCCATTGGTGATATTTGTCTTATTTATCGGTTGGATAATTATAAAACATTGTTTTAAACTCAATCTGAAATACTGTATCTCTAATATAACAAGAATTTAACGAAAATCAGGATATTAATTCATAATAACGGTTCTACCTTTGGAGCTCAGTTTCACTTTCGACTTAGAGCATTCTCGCACGCTCTCTCTCTCTCTCTCTCTCACACACACACACACATACGCGCGCGCTCTTGCGATCAAAGAAATTAGATAACCTTAGTGTTTCCCGTTTAACTTGCGGGTTATTTTCGGCTATGATATCTAAGGTAGTATCTCGAAGCCTTACGGAAGAGATGTCTCGCCTATAGGTGGTCATATCACATGGATTCTGACAGGAGCACAGGTCTGAGTGCTCCACTTCCTCTGAAACAATAGGGTAATAATAATAATAATAATAATAATAATAATAATAATAATGCTTATGATAATGAGAAAATTGCAAAATGGCATTTCAGCCTCACTATATGTAGGTAAATATACAATAAGATCAACATTCGTCTGATCGCATTTGAAAAACTGTGGTGCCAGTTTAAGACTTATCCGCAACGCTTTGCGCACTTTCGTCCAGAATGAGGGAAGCATGTCGCAAGTAAACTGATGTGGTGAGAAGCTATAAAAAATCCAACATTGCCAGTGCTAGATATACATTAATATGCATGTAGACGTTTATTTTTTACTTTACCTACCTAAGGCTGGATAGGCACATCCCATGTACATATGTCCTAGACATACGGATGTGTTGCCTGTAATGATGTATAGTGATGTAATGAAATGTATAATACGGTCTCATGTACGGCTTACAAATTGCTCTTTCTCTAGTATAAATATAAAACATGCAATTGCAGAGTACAAAAAAGCTATTTACACAGCCGTTATGAAAACCATTTAAATGAGTGTACAAGTGTATATACACAGGTTCATTACAAACCATCTGAAAAAGAGAGAGAGAGAGAGAGAGAGAGAGAGAGAGGAGGAGGAGAATGAGAGAGAGGGAGGGAAGAAGAGAGAGAAAGGGAAGTAAGGAGAGGGAGACAGAAAAAGAAAGAGAGGGAGGGAGGGAGTTAGGGAGAGTGAGAACGATAAAATCAAGGATGGAGAAAGAGAGAGAGAGAGAGAAAGAGAGAGAGAGTGGGTGGGGGAATCACCTGGCATTTCAGCCAGCTTGCAGCCACACTCTTTTACGATGGTATCTGTCTCACACTCTATCCTACAGGCAGGGACGCTATAATGGGAGTAATACTTGAGTTTCCCGTCGTAGCAATTTCCCCATGGAGGAACCAAGTTGTGAACCTGCAATGAAGAACCATTTAACTGTTATTTACTAGGTGGCAGTGCCAGATTTTCGTAAGAGTCGAAATCCTGATACATGGATGAGCATAACAATATTGGGACCCACAAGATATTCTCAAACAAATTGCCATTAGGCTCATTTGACAATAACGGAATAAAAATAATTTTTCAACAAGCTGTCCAACCTTCTGTTTGTTATCACTATATCAGCTAATAAGGGCCGTTAACATATGAAAAATGTAAATAGACGTTATGTAATTGTGATTAAAGTTCTTAAATCCTACGTATTTCTTCTGTATGGCTATAAAGTGGTGGTCCCCCGGTAGCACTCCAAATCCCAACTCCTTTACAAACGGCGGCTCTTCCTGAGCGTGAATAACCATCTTCAGTCCTTTACAATGAAAAATACACATGAGTTAAGAATTCACTCAACCAAATTTAATAACCGTTTTCCTTTGGAGCAAAGTTAGATAAATGCACAAAGTAAAAGTAATACAATAAATAAATTCAAAATTAGGTTTAAAAACAAATTCAAATGCATTACTGCACTGCGCTGTCTTAAAAGCGTTTACTTCCTTTGAAGGTTAAGATTTTAGACGGCACATCTCACTTACAGCGTACTTACAGCGGACGCTACTTTTTCTACTTTTTGTACGAGGTATTAACCCTGTCACATTGGAATTTTAACTCAGTAGCTCATTTTAGAATGAATGCGACACAGAATTGACAAAATTCAAAGTTACTTAGTCAATCAAACTTGTATTGAATGAGCAGAAGCATTTTGTGAATTTTCATGTTTTTCACGGGACAATATTCATCGAATTAACATTTTTATCCATCGATGTACCCGGATTATAAAACCTACCAGCATCTTGCCCTGCTAGGACATCCGAAGTCAAATACTCCTCTTCTTCGATGTTGATATATAACTTCAACCCGTTCCCCGCCCCCGCCTTTCGTGATACGTATTTATAAGAGTGGTCAGCATTGAAAGTATAACAGATGCCAAAATGAGTGAAAACCGAGGTAAAGTTTTCCGGGCCACAGTGTTGCCCTTTCCACGAACACAGAAGTATCATGTCTTCCAGCTGGTGGCCGGTTCGACGTATAAATTCAAGCACGTCAAAATTTTCTGAAAGTTAAATCGAAACCGAAAGTCCATTATGTTACCAGGTAACTTTTAAACAAAACTGCAATGAATAATGTAGGGTACTAAGTAACCAGAATGATCAACGTAATTTGATAGCATTTCTTTTTTGAACAGATTTTAAAACTTATAACACCCATGGCGTAGTTCATTTTATAAGAAAATAAAACCATATTCTAGATTTATAAATATACTGACAGTCAATGAAAACGCATCATTTATTTAGCAAATAATATTTTAAGTTCCTTTGGCACATTAAGAAATAACAGTTTTCGTATGAAATATGTGAAATATGAAATACTGTTCAGCCCACTCTCTTATGACCAGACAAGTGCATATGTACATGTACTCGTATATATGGTTGGAATCGATTCTCGGTAAAAAAAGTACAAGAAAGTTTTCTGATGCGTTTTCATTAACTGTAAGTATATATATTATAGGCCTACATGTACCAATAAACTGATATCGTAATTACCCTTATGTGAAATATTTCAATTTCTAGCTCTACATGTGTGTGTCAATCTACAACAGCGTATTGCTGCCACGTTGTTTTAACTTGATTTTCAAATTCCGACTAAATATCTTAGAATGTCCATTTAATAACTCCAAATTTCAAAATATGAAATATAACAAAATGGCAGCAATATGCCTCCGTATGAATCTGTGCTTGTATTTTGCAAAAGTAAAAAGAATATCTACCTTCGTCATCGTTGGCAGCTAACTCTGTCCAATTAATACCGTGCACCCAATCCACCCAGCTTTGGTTATAATATTCCGGGTGTATAAGACGGCGGTTTTCGTCTAAAATGTGTAGTTTTTCACCAAAATGTAATATATCAACGTCTGTCAAAGCGGATAGCCTATAGGAGTTCATATTGCATATGGTTACGGCTGGAAACTCTGCAACAAATAAAGAATTTGTTGATTATTTGATGGTAAAAAAATCAGTACTTTTTTGCACGATCGTTCCATTCCGTTAATTTTCACGTTTTGTACGAACCATGTGACGGTTAGGTGAAACAAAACAAAAGTAAGGTCACTTAGATTTTTTTTTGGAAAAAATTACCAGGGGATTGAAGCAAATTAGCATATATTACGTTTTTTTACAATTTTCAGCTGACTATAGTTTGGCAAATAACATCTCCATATTTTTTATCTCAGAGCTTCGAAAGCAGGGGCGGATTTAGGCCGTCTTCTGGGTCTTCCGGAAGACGGTCAGATTTTTAAGTTTACACTGACGGGTATGTAATGTTTTCTGTCGGAAGACGGTCAAAAATGGAGGATGGATTAACAAAGATAATTTGGAAGACTGTCAGAAAATATCTCTGGATCCGCCCCTGGAAAGCACTATGGTAGACACTTGCATATCATCAATGTCAGTCTCTGGATATGTGTAGGTGTTCCCATGCTTAAGGATGTTAAGCCAACACATTATCAACATCGTGTTGTTTCTTTTGAAAAACAATACACCAGAAATTAAGGCTGCTATTAGTATCTTACTTATGTGAATTTTAATTCACATTAAAAGATATAATATGAATTTGCGGCAGTCGGCGATATGATCGCAAAAAGCAGGGATAACACTCTATATTGCACCCTCTTCCCTTTTGCCCCAATACCCCCATACTAGTGCAATGTACTCCTTAAAGAGTAAATGCTGTCAAAAAAAAAAAAAAAAAAAAAAAAGTCCAGGACATTAGATCAATTAATTATATACTTGAAACAGTGCCAGTTTTATAGCAAGAAGGACATGGGTATATTGATTGTGACCAATAATCCCCAATTTAAATGGACACTTGATTATTATCTGACTCACCTGAACAGCACTGATACCTCACTACCATTTCTTACCAAACCTTCTCTACTGCAAGTGCTGACATAGGAAGACATCTCATAATCCTACAGCAGTATCAGCCTCAGTTTTAATAATTTTTATAATAATTATAATTTGTTCATTTGGTCAACAATTCCCACCATTTCCATCACAGGTTAGACCCTGATTATTCCACACATGACTGCTACTAGTGATATAGTGACAGACGCTGCTATGAGCAACTGATTGATCAAAGTTATCACCTATGATTTGCCCTAGTGATTTGTTCCCTGGCTCAATCCTATCCTTATCCTGGGCCATGTCCTCAGATTACAATACAAATACATCATCCAGGGCCCCATTGGTTATCACAATATGGTGATACATTTCATTGTCTTATCAAGTATTGAACATAGTGATTACTATGCNAAAAAAAAAAAAAAAAAAAAAAGCGCTGGCCGTAATGGGGAGCATCCATGATAGTGACACACAAAACAATTCGTGTACGTACAACAGATTATAATTCGACAGGACTTAAGGGAAACGACCACACAGTATCTGTCTATAAATTATGTCGACTTTTATTCCTTGTTGCACCCCAGTTGATAGTCTGACAATATTTTGGACCCCGTTCTCCTCAAAATACTGAGAAATCTCAAGTAATTTTACGCTACGTCACCAGACTTTGCACTAGTTGCATTGCTTTCAGGTTTCTTAGACGACATAAGCTGCACATAGAGAGTTTCAAACTCAACTGTCGCTGAAAAATGTACACAGTCCCACGCAGATTCTCGCAAGTTTTATAGTCTCGTATGACGTCACGTTCGTAACGTCCACAGTCTCGTTTTGAGGCTATTTTCATTGGAAAGTGATCACACAGAGTGACAGATTTAACATCTGTTTCCGAACATCAGCCGTTAAACGGTTGTCAGGTTAAGTGGAGGGAAACAAGCCTTATAATTGCATCGATTGTTCACCCGTACCAGTCGTGTCTGAAATGGTTGTTAAATCAATATTTTCGTAGTGCCATCTGCCACTTAGGAAGAATATTGTTGTTATTTCCATAGAGATAAACCGTTTAGTCATTATCCCCCGAGAGAATTAAGTAATAGTATATTCCAATTTTTATTTCAGTCATTAATGATCTGAGTATACAGTGTTCAAGTCCACCAATTTACGTGGATGGATGTCACCAACACGACCGCTTTGTCAGTGTTAAAAGCATTTTCTAGTACCATGTGGCAGAGTCATTTACAGCTACATTGTACATAATGTGGGTTTGTTTTCAGCGTATTTTAATTGTAAATTTAATCATTTTGAGTAGGTGCTCTTCATCCAGATATCGCTTTAATATGATGGAAATTTTTGTTATGTTTAGCTTTTCAATTAAGAAGTACATGTAGGCCTATGTCTATCAATTGAATGGTTTGGGCTTCATACATGTAGTCATAATAAAAGAGTCTATAAAATGGCGGTGGTCTTACCTAACTCCATATCGTACATCACGTCCAGCTCAGACGAGTGTGGATACTGCAAGTAATAGCTCAGCCTGTCAACTGTGTTGGCGATAAAACCCGTAAGACCCGCCAGAAAGAAAAACAACCAAAAGGTTCTGCGTAACAGTGTATAGTCTCTCCTGAAGACACGCTTCAGTCCGTGGAAGTCGGTGTCTTCTCCAAATTGTTCCAGGCCTTCGCTGACGGATCCGCTTTCTTTGCTAGCTTTTGATTCTGTGGATTCTTCAATATAAATATAAATAAAAATAAAGGCAATATTTGGTGTTGATATACATGTAAGGGTGTAATGATGAACATTATCATGGGGTAACATAAATGTGCAATGAAATTACGTAAAATAGCTTCGCTACACCAATCGTATCAGCTTCGTGTTCAGTTTTGCCAATTACACTGTATATAACAAGATAATAATAAGTCACATATGTGCGTGTTTAATTGGAATAAAATTGATGGGTCTATAAAGGTATATACATGTACGACACACGTACTGCATTGGTTTTAGTTCTTGAACATTATATTACGGCTATCTGTCAAACGAAGGGACGTGAAAAGATGGAGACATTTTGTGTCTCCATGACCCTATTTAAGGTGAAATAAAACTGTCATTTTACTGAAAATCTGTTTGTTGCGCACAGGGTTATGCTGATTTTTAAAAAATGAATGCTTAACCAGGGTCACCTGAGAGTAAATCTTATCTTCATTTGTGAAGTGAGTTGACAGTATATCAAACGTGATAGTCCTTCCACACATGTAACTTTTCCTTCAAATTTATCCAATAATTCTGGAGTGAAGGTACGGCTGGGATGGAAATTACTCAAACAACTGTTCAAATGGTCAAGGAATGTTATGACCGGTACAGTAACCCTCACGCACTGTCGAATAGAATGACTTTGAGTGCTAAAATGACACATCATCAACATAAGATTCTTCCTCGTTTGCGCGAGTATATAATTAGGTGATAATTATTAAGTTTTTTGAATGGTACACGTGCCAAGAAGGCGCCTCCGATTGTGATCCAGCATATCTTTTCTTCGAATTTCTTCCGTATTTCCAGATGATTTTTAAAGAATATCTAAACTGCCTTTTGGTTGCAATTTCGTAAATTTACCTTTTGTTTTGTTTTCCTCTAAAGTCTCCATTTGGACTTCGAATGCAGAAGAGCGACGTCTTACCATCTTCTCCGACATAGGTTTAATTTACTTCAAAAATGGCAATTTTTTCCAACAGGTCCTCAGAAGTATTAAATAAATCAACGTGTGCGCAAATATTTTAACCAAGAAAACGTTAAATCAGTAAGTAGATGATTTAGCACAACTTAAGATCAACTTCCTTATTTCTTTCGTGAAATATATAAGATTGTTTACTACGATTCATTTGTCGCAAGCAATGGAAGGACTGTATTCTCTATAATTTGACGTCATATATGCAAAATGTTTTGATTATGACATGCTTTGTTTCAAGGAGGATTCAAATAACGGAAGGTAGGCATCTTACGTATATGTACCGGGAACAAACCAGAGTGACCAACAAAATAAACGTCATTTTCAAACATCAACCATTATATACGGTGATAAGGCTTACGCCTCTTAAATAACATTCACAATTGTCGAACCTGATAATTGAAACGAAACAATCGACTGATTATTTTCGCTAAATTAAGTACAGTTGAAATAATTGAATATTACCAGTTACCTAGAATAAACATTACGCTTACATATTTACATACACACCAATTTGTTATCTTAGTAACAAGTGTTACGTAACAAAAAACTAACACGGAGTGATAATGTAAATATGCACTTCTAAGGTTAACGAGTGCAAATGCTTTTAAGGAATTCACGGAATAAATTATCTATATGAACAATGTTACAAAACTGACTTTGATTTTCGACAATAAAATTAGTTACTACGTCAAATAAGTACTTCACATAGAAACGGTCACTCCTCGGACGGTTGTCCATTACGTAGATGGCTCGATCTGGTTCCTTGGAGCGGCTCAACTCCGCTCAGCGGCTCATCATAGACGACTTTCAGAATATACACTGCATGTTTGTCTAAACTTACCCTGCTTTAGTAAATTTTATTACAATTTATGAAAATGACGGAGGCAAGTACCAGTACAGAGTTACCCTCACACACAGCTTTGTGGTTTTCGTTTTCCATTAGACTTTACCAGCTGGATTCACTTGCTGAACAATAGAATATGAAATTAGAAAGCAGTTGATTATTTCCCTCAGCATTTTTCCAGAGCAACTCTTATCTACAAATTTGGTCTGTTTCTGTGGTTAGGTTCTTCACCTTGACATCTTAATTTCTGTGTGTAACTTTCTGTGTGTGTGAATTATTTATAATGCACAAATAACACAGCTTTCTTAATTAACATGAACTGTGAGTGAAAGAAAAGGAGAGGGGTTGGAAGTTATTGATAAGCATTATTTTCCATTGTGACATTCACTTTAGGAAACGTAACGGAGGTTACTGAGCAACAGTGGTTTAATTACGCGATGCCGTAACTATACGGTCAAATATGATAAAAAAACATAAAAACCATCAGTATGACTGTGAATAAATTGAGGAAAAACAATACTGAAAGACGAAGACATATTAGTATTTTACCTTTTTTGTAAGATGTAAACGAGGGAAAGGGAAATATATGTAACCCCTGAAAACAGCATTGATACAGGCCTCCGTATAATTCCACATACTTGTAGCTTCATACCTCCGCCGAACAATATTGGGTCGCTCGAGGATTTGTCCAGGCTATTCGACCGTTCTTTATCAAATATTTGCAATGTTTGCCACGCACTTTAATCATCGATTCCATTAGTACTCAGCCGTTCCGCTATTGTAATCTATATCACAGGCAATAAATCCACACAGTATTAGAACTGTAATTTCAGCCAATATTTCTTACCTACGAACGTATAAACGTGGAAAATGATTAACGGCTGTATTCTGTATGTTTTATTTTTTTTGTATGAGAATGAAATCACTTATTGGCATGGCACATTCTATCGATCTGCATGGTCAATGGTTACAATTCCCGCTCTTAAGGCGAAATTGTTTTGCAAGTTATATGCAGTGGAAAAATACAATATGCACAATTGATAACCCTCGAAAGCCCATGGTTCCCGACAAGCTAACCGAAGTTCATTAGATCCAAAAAGCACTCAGATATAATGACAACGGCTGTTTTTTCTCGACAGAAATTCCATTTAACAGTTCCAATTTGCCTTTTCTATCCCTTTCCTTTTATTCAAGGTGCCACTTTCATATACTCTTAATTATAAAAATTAATTTCAAATTTGAGACTTGGTCTTACAAATTTTTTAAAATAAGTTTAATTTTATTGGCGCTAAGTAGATTTTAATCAAATGTAAACGCAGATTAAAGATTATTCTTCAAAATGTTGTGCAACCATTAATCATCAGACACAACTTTACGGTGGTAGTCTCATCAATTTCCCGCCAAACCTTTAAGATAATGATGTATCAATATTGCCTAAATAGCTTTCAAGTGTAGAATACATAAAACAATATACAATTACAGGTACAACTCAAACATTCCTGTTCAGATAATTGCCTCGAAAAACCTTGGACTCCGGAATAAGGCAACAGTATTGATTTCAAAAAACGATTTTCACTGGAAGGGAAAATTTCTCATTGACTGAAATTAACAGCATGTAAACATAAGGCGGCAAGCAAATTGATGTTTACACTCATAGATTTTAGATTTTTTAAAGCACTTTTCATTAAAATAATACTTATCCTTATTAAAAGCCTTAAGTCCATTTAGAATGTTTAGATGACTTTGCAAAATAATGATTTAAAATGTGCATAGAATTCAGATAGGAACAAAATGAGCAGCTCAATATTAGATTGATAAAATATTATAAAGGTCAGTTTAAATCCAGTTCATTCAGCTATACATTAATGTTTTAAAATGTCCTTTATTTGGAAGCGCGCGCGTGTGTGAACGATTTGGTCTTTTTGTAAAAAAAAAGCACAACCGAAGAGTATAAATGGAAAGTCACCCTTAGGAAGATTATTTCCCGTGCCTTTTTAATGTGTTGATATCATAAACATACACTTACCTGACTGCTTCTGTCTTTTGGTGTTGCCGACTAACCGATTGGCAGTCTCTATCCACGAGGTCTTTTTCTGCATCTTGTTAACTAGTTCACACTGTTGTGTTTTCTACATGTCTTTGGGCACACTCTCTAGGTCTCAATAATCACCGGAACCATCTAAGCTTATAGCCAAATATCGTAACCTAAAGGGCGTTGGTCGCGAAGTCAACTTATATAGGCATTACTCAGAAAGTGCGTCAGGTGCAGAATACTGAAAACGTAGATACACGGTTTCATTTATCCAAATTTGATAAATTTGTATCTATCTTTCAATCTGAACCTGAGCACGAGAGCTCTTCATTGGCGTCGTGCAGCTGGACAGCATCTCAGGAATCCTGCAGGTGCTTGCTGTCCTTTAAGAATACCTCACGCGATATTACCAAGAGCCCTGTTTCACACATTACAACACACACAATCACACCCACGTTGGGCTACAGTTGCCCAACAGCAGGGGGGCGTTATCTCGTGGACCTTCTGTATTTTGAATTCGATTATAGCATCAGCTTTACAGTGTCAAATTACTTAGCACTGAGCATAGTAGAGAGGCTGTGACATAAAAACGGCGAGTATCTATAGCCTCATTAGCACTGCAGTTTGAAAGTACGTAACACTGAGCGTAGAGCGGCTGCGACATAAAAACGGCGAGTATCTATAGCCTCATTAACACATCAATCAAAAGCACAGAGTTACGTTGGAGATGGATAGTGATGATGCAAGTTGACTGAGGCATTAATTTGGAGAAGTGGTAGCAATTTAGTGAATCAAGGTAATTAGCGTGTTACACAAAAGCCATTACTTGCCGATTGATTAAAAGAGAGAGCACACTAGCATATACATGTAGAATGACCCCCCCCCCCCCGCTAAAAAATAAATAAATTTGAAATTTTGCATGCAAGTGGTCGGTTTTGCAAGGTGTAAAATGAACTATGCAGTGTTCTGTAAATTTGTTAATCTGTGGCAGAATGGAGCAAAAAATTCAGACATTACCAGACAGATAACTGCGCCAAACGAAACGGCTCGCACAGTTTTATAGAGTAATGCCCAGACTGATGTACCTACACAGGGGCCACACCCAATGTATTGAAATATGTGGGGGTATCTCCAGGATAATGTGTTCCAGAACAACACTCAAACGATTGATGAACTGAAGGCAGCAATCACAGCAAAAATTAAGGAAATCCCCAAAGAAGAATTCGTTTCAGTAATTAAAAATTTTGTGCGACGTATGCAAGTGTGCCTCCCACGCCGCCAAGGTCATTTGGAGCATATTTTGGAAAGAACATAACTTTAATGCAAATTGGCCAAGATAATTGAAAATCTCGAGAATGTCGTTTACAGACTGAAGTTTACGGCCAGGAAATTTCTTGAAATTTGCTGAACTTTTGAGGGATTTAATGATATTTTATGTTTTTTTTATGAAGCTCACTGAGCCCGGTATCTTGTTCCTATTAGTCCATATAAGCTGTAGCAGGTCCTGTTTTAATTACGAACACCAAGAGAACAATGCCCGATACATTCACGTATGCTTGAGCAAGGTAACAAAAGGAAACTCGATACGTTGTCGTAAGCAACAACACGATATAATACTTTCAAATGTACTTGTGTATAGACACGCTGGTAAAAACGTTGGGAACAAACGTGCTCATAACCATCTGCTTGCGCCACATCGAGGCTGCATGAGGAGAGGGAACTTGTCGGTCGTTAAACTTCATGTGATGTATGACAGATGGTGTACATAACCGGCGACTCGTGGCCGTGATTGATCTAGAACATCGTTTTTTGCAGCACATTTGGAGCGTTCAGGAAAGAAATAACCTCAAAAGGGATATGATTGTGTTAATTATCAACCTGAACATTCGAATCCTTCCTTCATTCTAGACCTCAGCCAGTGTTACATAAATTGAGTATATGTTATGGAATATTTTATTTATTAATGTGACAAGGATAAAATATTTCATGCCGCGAAGACCTATTTGTCAACATAGTTGCTGATTTTCTTTTTACAAAAGCCTGTGCCAAATATTTAGCCAATCTCCTAGTATTCATAGTCAATTTTAGTTTGTCGTTCATATTGTTGATCTAGTCCAGTTTGTGATTAAAATACGACTTCTAATGTCATCTTAAAGGTAACCCACCTGCATTTAGGCCAAAAATGGATTTTCCTGGGGTAAACGATAATTTTCCATACCTTGTTAATAAATCCATTTCTGCATCCAAAGTAAGTCCACGTTTTTTTTCTGAAAAGTTTGTTTCGTAATAATATCTTAAATCAGTAAAATGTGTTGGCGGGGAAAAGCCTAATTGTCATACAACGCAAACAGATTTACAAATGGCTGGGCAAATGGTGAGAAACAAACCGGTTGTGCTAAGCTGTGTGTTCTGTTTGCATGACATACATGCAGAAGGAGCGGATGGCATTGAGGACAACCGCAAGCGCAGCTAACACATTTGTAAACCTTGTTAACGAGTTTTTCCAATGTTAAGGTAAAACCCCCTTTCATGTGGAATGGTGCACTGACTTAATGCAGCCTGTGCTCGATGGCTTGAGATATTGCGCCTGGCTATACGTGAGAGAGCGCGTATTGATTGATAAAACAGCAAGAAGAGCGAGTGAAGAGTTGGGAGTAACAGCCTCTGAAACACGATCATACAATTAACTGGCACTGTTCCCACGTCATCCCGCGGACGCTGAAAATTCGAAAAGATGATTTTTTGTACTGTGTATTTTGAACTGTCAAAGTGAAGCTGTGTGGAGATGCTTTCCCTGAGATGTACTGTCCTAACTGGACCTTGATTCCCAATTATATTTACACCCAACTAGAATTTATATTCCGTACGGATATAATTTCCTTTAACAGACTGTCCGGTGCTCGTCCAGTCCAAGTCGCATGTGTTTTAAACTAAACTTATAAAAGCCGGATCCAGGGACGGGGCAGAGGGGGGGGGGCACAGTGGAGTTTTACCTATCCCTTATGTTATGATTAACCCCCCTCCTTTCCCTTTCCTCATGAACGGATTATGTCTACTGATCTACCTTCAATTTGACCCCGCCCGCCGCCCCCCTCCACCAAGCAAAATCCTGCATTCTTCAATTAAATCGGAAGTAAATTACTGAAAAAAAAAAAATGAATCCGTTTGGTTACGCGAGATAATCCAATTTTAGATTAAAATCAACCCCTAATAAGATGACTCCGGTACGTTTATCGCCAGACGCGCTGCTGCACCCGAATCAGGTACACAGGGACATGGCCCACGTGTTTGGAACTGTGATTTTGTTATGGCTGTGTGTGTACGTGCCTGGGCTCTTAGGTACGTGCTTTAATACGGAACGAGATATAAGCTCTTGCTTGTGTTCTTAATTGCAACTAGGGGGTAATTTTAATTCAAATTATCGTTTAGCAGCCTTAGTAGGCGTGCCAGACAAGCCGCTTAAGCTGAAGGCAATTTAGTGAGAAACCCTTGGAGATGGACCGATCCTGTTAGGTCGATCTAGGTATAGTCTAAGTCAAATAACACCGCACTTGAACAATAGATAGATAGTTATACAGCACTTCCGATCTTTAACTTTGCAGTTCCTGAAAAGTTCTTTTTAATAAACTCATCTTATCTATTTTTTTCAAGTATTTTACAAATACCAGGTTAACAAAAAGCAGAAAATCCTTTCTCTCTCTCCCTTTTTTTTTTGCTACTGCTATACTATCTGACATCATAAATCGATGTAATCACCGTTTAGCTACATCCATTCCTGGGTCTCCTTTATCATATCATCTCACCAACCCCTCGATTGCTATATATTTCTAACAGCATCGAAACAATAACAGAGCCACATTCGCTCAGTCATCAGAAGGTTTAAAATTTCTTGCTTAACTCCGATGTCAGGCTCAGAGAAACGCCGCGAATTATGCACGAAGGAAGGTAAGTGATGATTTCTACACAAAAGATCCATTTTGAAAGGTACAAACGATTTTTGTGTATATCATAATAGGTTATGTTCAACAACAGATGAAGAGATCACTTCTTTTTTCGTAAACTAAATGTATTTAACAGTAGTAGAATCAACAGGATTGCTGTAATGAACGTAAACAAATAATAGTATTGAAGAACGTTAAGTGCAAGACCGCTGCAGGTAAATACACAAGTTGATTACTATATAATAAAAATTATTCTTTTTTACATGATACAAAAATCTTTTTAAGCAGCAAAATTGCTTACGTAAATGTCATTGGAATCATTAAACAACCACTTGAGAAGACTGCAGGAGTCGACCTCTTCGTGAGAAGGGAATTTCATGAAGTTAATCGCCGGTCAAGATTGTCTTTTTATATGTCACAGTCAACTGAACGCGCATTATGTGCATAAAACTAAAATATTCAAAAACATGTGGCTTTAATGCCCACATAACCATACATCAAAAGGCAAATTATTGATATTTTTAAAACTGCCTTGGCAGTTTTTTTCATGTCTGGTCGTGAAGCCGGTATTTAATAATTGGCATGTAATTGAAAGGGAAATGAAAGGAGTTCTGTAAATACCAGTATTTCAATTAAATAGGCATTTACAGCAAAGGAAATAAGCTTTCCACTACATTCGTTATGTTACGCTTCCTCAATTTCCGCTTTCTGCATACTGGTATGATTTCACAGGATTCTAATCAAAATACTCTCTTATTTTCTCAACAATAGAAAAAAGTAAAATTGAAATATAAAGAAAATAAAAATCCTGTGTTTGTATATTAAATTTCTTTTTTTCCTCTCCCATTTTCCTCCTTTTTTCTGCTTTGCATTAATGAAGAATGAGCGTATGTTCTTACGACATGCAAGTCCTAATAACATTTTCATCGTTATTTTCACTTAAAATAACGCAGTTTATGGGTTCCTTCTTAATATGACTGTTTTTCTTTCTCAGATCCTATAAAAACATGCACTGTCTTTTGAAAAAAAAAAAAAATAGGAAGATTGTGTCGATTGGAATAACATGATTGTACATGAGTATCAATATATCTTCACACAGGTGAGTGCAGATGGGGTTGGGAGTGTG